CACCAGCAAGACCTGTTGCGGTGCTTGCTGAAGACCAAGGGAACACAGGTGGCACTGTAGTTCTAAATACCAGCTACGCCCCTGTGATCCGCTACAGAAATGAGAATTGTAACAGTTCTCTCCCAATGATCCCCATGTAATATAATGCTGACAGACTTAATATTGGTTCAGTATTGTTAAACCTATGTTTTAATGTTAGAGTTATGAAACGTTAGGAGTAACCATCACCTAAAGAAAACTTGCCCTCTCTTCTGGAGAGCAAATGAGTGTACTTCCATTTGCATGCAGGATAGTTGTACCACAACAGGGATAATTATGAACTAGTCTTTGTATCTGAAGACTAAGTATGGTTTAAGGAGCTGTGTCTGGTTGTCAGGTTGACAAGGGGTGGACTGTGATAGTTAACCTTGCTCCAACTTGATTAGGAAAGGCCCAACTGATCAGATCAGCATAGTCTGGATGTGGCTAAAGGGATTTATTGAAGACAGAAGACCCACCCGAGGTGAATGGCACCAGCCAATAGGCTTGTGGCCTGAATGAAATAAAATGGGGACAGAAGAGAGGTGTCTTCAGTTTCTTTAGAGGAACTTGTCTTCACCATTGCTTCCAGCGCAGATCCTTCAATCTCCCAGCTTTGGGAAGGCTAAGACTCTATACCCTTCCAATGTAGACCCTTCAGCTACCAACAGAACTTTCCAGTGAGCTCCAGATTTTCTCTCTGTGAACATTCAGCCCTCCAGTATACAGACAGCCCTTTTGCATTCTGCCACACTTGACCTGCAGGCAGCCACTACGAGCCTACCTTGTACATCCTGTGAATATAGTACTACGTTAAATGTCACTCTTCTGAGCCCTAATGCACCAACTGACCCCACACTCCACACCGCTGACCCCATGTCACACTGGCCCCATGCTCCACACCAGTGACCCCACATCACACTGGCCCCATGCTCCATACCTCTCGTCCCACTGGACTCACAATCCACACTATAGGATCAGTATCCACCACACTGCCCCACATTTCACATGACTGACTGAGTCTACACCACTGACCCCTACTCAACGCCACCAGCCCCACCCACCACAACACTGGCCCTCACTCCACATCACTGACCCAGCACACCTCAAAACTGACCTCCACGCCAATCTCTGAAACCACAATGCACAACTGTCCCCACCCTCCATACCACTGATGCCACACTACACAACACTAACCCCCACACAACTCCACACTCCTAAACACCGACACAAATGCCATGTGAAAGACCCATATTCCACCCACCTACCTGGACACTCCATGCCACTACTGCTCCATTCCACATCTGAACCCATTCTCTAACACAACCACACCACTGATTCCACAGCCCATGTGACCCCTGAACCCTCATTGCACACCACTGACCCCATACTCCACACTCCAAAAACCACATTCATACCATGACACTACCCACTAAGCCCACACTCCATACTTCCCCACATGTGACTCCATATCCCACACCATGACTGCACCCTCCACGCCACTGGCCACACCCTCCACACCACTGACCTCACTCTACACCACTGACCTCATACTCCATACTTCCAACATCCACACCAGTAACTCATCACTCACATCTCTGGCTCTTACTCCAAACCACTAACCCTCACTACAGCCACTGACCCTGAACTCCAACTCTCAGGTCCCACACTCCATCCTAGTGGCCACACACGCCACACCTGTGACACACTACCCTCCACTGAGCCCCACACTCCACTGGCCGCACGCTCCACACCAATGAACCTCACACTGCAATCCTGGAACTTCATACTGCAGACCTCCCACCCCCCACGGCACACCGTGACCCTCACTCCACACAGCTTCCTCACTCTCGCCCATGGCTTCCCGTTTGCCTGGACCCACGTCACGTCACTGACCCTACCGGCACACTTGCCGGGCCCTCCACACTCCTCTCCCCAAGCCCCACCCGCGGGGACATACTCCACCCACTGGGGCCACAGGCCCTACACGTCAGTGTAGGTCCCCCTGCTGCACAGCAGCGATCTCCACACCACCGACCCCATGCCACATTCCAGGGACGCCACACTTACACACTAAGGCCTGTGCTGACAGCTTACAGTTGACCTCCTGCCCCAGGACCGCAGAAACAACAGCCATGGAAATCACCAGCTTCGGCTTTTATTATCTTTCTCATGCAGAAGAGGTATTTCTGTTATGGAGACAACCATCTCTTCTCACTCACTGAGTTCAAGTTATGATCAGTCCCATTGTGTCTTGCTCAACCTGTCCACTTACGAGCTACAGTTCTCAAACTGTACACACATGCCCTTATCACCTAGGGGTTTTCCTTTAAAATCCCTGTGTTCCTAACCCAGATCCCGGAAAAGCAGGCTTAGGCAGGCAAGGAGTTGTTTTCCTCTACACCTAGATTTAACGCTAGGGGATGGAGACTAAGGCAGAAAGCGTGTACACACTCTGGGTCATGAAGGACTCACCTAGGGAACAGGAACGGCAAGACAGAAAGCCCGTCAGGGAGCAGCAGGCGTTCGGTAACAAAGACCGTTTTCCTAGACTGTCACACTCCTCCTAGGCAGGCTCCAAGTCACTCTAGAGCAGGACCGTGTCTGTGGGAAAGACAGAGCCACAGCAGCACTTTAAGGCTGCAGGCTCAGCTCACGTTTGTAGCCAGAACCTCCTTGCACGGGCTGCAGGAAAATATCTGTGCTGTCTGACCACCATGGAACAAAACGAACATCATGCATCCGAATGCACCCCGCGTAGGTGGAGTTATGGCTCACACCTCCACGGAGGAGGCGATTTTCCTTCAATAGTTCTGTCAGAGTCTCTCAACCCAATTTATTCTGCAGCAGGCAGGCAGGAGTCTCTCATAATGGGTGCTTTCGAGGCAGAATCTTGAAGGCTAACTGTAAAAGTAAACTATGTGTCCAACCCATTGCCTTTTACAGGCAAGGGACTGTGGCCCGATAGTCTGTACATGCTCCCCGCTCTAGGAGCTGACACATTCTGGCCTCCAGCAATGAGACCGCATCCAAAGGCTCCAGGAATACTAGAGTAAGCTCATGTGTAGCAAAAGTAGAGAAAAAATACCATCTTCACTGAATTTGTAAAACTTCCCTGGCAACCTCAGGCAATACTCTCAAAACTCCTAGATACCCATATTTATGAAATGTAAACTAGGGAACTACAGAACCCCTGAATCAGCAGAAAGCCTTTGGAAAAACAGGAAGGCATCAAGGTGGAAAATGTACATTTTGAGTGGGAGCCTTCTGCTTCCAGTTGTGGTACTGTGGTTTCAGGAGCTCATCTGACCAGCGTTAAGGGTGCCTGGCTAGCTAGTCAGACCATCTGGGTATAGCGAGAGAGGGTTTTTGTAACAGGCCGGTTCACGAGTCAGTGGGCCAGGTGGGGAGGATGTGCCCTTGCTCTGGGGCCCAGACCAACAAACGGCAGAGGCAAGGGGAGTTTGTTCTCCCTTGGAGTGAGAGTATCCGAGGGCTCCTGCAGGTCAGAATCCAGCTCTCCGTTCTTTGGCCTCCTCCAGCTCCAGCCCTGTTCTCAGCCTTCAGACTGGGACCGGGGCGCACTTGGCTCCGTCTCCAGCCTGGAGAGGCTGTCGTGGGACTTTCAGCCTCCACAATCCAGAGCGCCCACTCCTCCGTCAAACCCCTCACATAGTCCTATTGGTTCTGTGTCTTCGGAGAGCCTAACGTACAGTGTGAAATGAACCCAATGTCACTGATACACCCCAGGGTTTATGTCAGACACAGGACAGAATTGTGTGCAGAATTTTACAAATGTATTCTATACCAGGACTTTTTCATGATTCAAACTCAATTCTTTTTAATAAGAGGCAAGGGAAACAAAAGTGGTTTCTAAGATTAAGCACAAAAAACCTCCCGTTACACCACAGGCTATTCTGCTAGGGAGAAGTCACAGCACCGAGGTCAGGGGTGGTGAACCGATGGCACGCAAGCCAAGTCTGCCCAGCAGTTAAGCACCGGGTAACAGTTAATTTCTTCAGAACTGAAACGTCAGTATTCAGGTTTAACTGCAGCTAGCACTTTGAGATAAAGTAAGTACATTTCTTTTACACTGGTTGGACAGTTTTCTCTCAAACAGCCATTTCAAACCGCTGAAAGCATCGGAGATGAAAAACTTTACAGTATCTGCGTGCACCAGACTCTTAAACCCTGATACACACTGTGCCCTCTGAGTGGTTTTAGGTCTCTTCAGATTAGCTGGTGGGATAAATATCAAGAGCGCTCTTCCCAAGGCAAGGTCAGCTTTTCTGGAGTAACTCCATGCTCACAAATGTGAGCAAAAACTGACAGGAGCTATGCATTCATACTTACCATACCAAAATACCCTGCGAAACAGAAAACGGTGGGAGGGATGAAGAACATGAAGAGAAGGAGCTCCACGTCCTTGGTGTGTCTCGCTTAGAGAGGACACAGTACAACGGAACAAGTAATTCACGTTTCTTTTTTAATAAAACCGATTTGCTTGATATGCCCAGGCACAGCCCACACGTCAGTCCTTCCTCAGGGAAACCGTCTCCTCCCGGATGCCCTCTTTGGTCACAATACAGATCCTGAGGGCGTCCCCGGTGTACACGTCCCTCTCGGCTGCAGAAATGAAGACATCTTTCACCAGTCGCATGGCTCTGTCCAAAGAGAGTGGGACATGTTCCACGTTCTGCATGTTCTTGAAGCCAACCTGGAGGGACAGCGGACATACGTGAGGGGTCACCTTCAGTGAGAGCAAACAAAGGCCCGCCTCCCCCAACACTCGTTCTTGTCCGAGGACGCACAGTAAACACTCCCACCACAGCCAAATGTCCTTGAGTCCTGGCTGGCCACACACCGGAAACCTGCACACGCCTGAGCAGCACACCTCAAGCAAGGTAAGCGCTAAGTGGAACATTAGACAAAAAGCACCAGAGTGGAGGAGGCCGCGAGGAGCGCGAGCCAGGACAGTCCCAGGAAAGTTACACGGGCAGCAGGTGAGTGGTGAAGGATAAACCTGAGGGGAAGAGCACTGAATGCTCTTGCCTGACGGGGAGGGATGAGACAGGAGGAGCACATCACTTCAGTTCAAGGAAAAGCGGTCCGTCCGCCTGTCGGGGGTGATGGGAAGTGAGCAGAGAGGTAGCCATACTAATGCTACTTCACAAGAGCGGCAGGATGAATCAGGGACTTAGGCGTGGAGGCAGAGGATGTTGGGAAATAAATCCAACAATGCAGGTCTGGACATACTTGAGCCAGGACACAAACTGAGGTTACTCAGAAATGGCGAGTTCGGGAGAGACGTATTCTCACACCCTCAGGTGAGGTACCGCGGTAAGACTGAAAACAGGGCCCCCACTGTGCGGAAAGACACCAAGAGGGCAGAGGAATACAGGCTACGGTCAAAGACAGAGAGCAGGTGGGGACCCCTGGAGAGTCGGGGTGCTCTGGGTTGGGCCAACCCGCCCAACTCTGCAGCGCCTGAGGAGAACGAAGCGGGCCAGGAGGGAAGTCCCCATCCGACCTTCGTTGCAGCCGAGCCTCAGCCCTTTACCTGGTTGTCAAGCAAGGGCTGCAGCATGGCACTTGCTGAGCCTCCAGCCTTGAAGGAGTCTCTCTGGTAGGAGCCCACGGGGTCGAAGCTGTACACAGCGCCCTTCCCTTCAGGAAGAAAACATTGCGTAAGGGCTGCATCCTGACCACCGCCCAGGCCCCAGAACAGCAACCCCAGTCATCACCTGTGACACAAAATGCATCAACTCAGCCCCACTTCCAGCCAAAGACCAGAACACACTTGCGACATTTCTCACTGCAGGTGAGACTCGCGGGCGTCCCAGCTCCTCACAACTGCTCCCCGGGGAACACAGCCAGAGGACACAAGGCCACAGCCGGAGGCACAAGTGCCACGGCCAACCTGTCCACCAGAAACCTTTCACGCTGTTGAAGCTAACGTCGTGAGGATGGTCGGTCCTGTAGCCCCCGGCATGAAGGCGGCTTCACAGACACACTGGCCAAGTGTGGTGGCTCCACTCTAAATCTAAACTAACCCCAGTTTCTCATGAAATTCCCCCAAAATGAACCCAACAGTTTAAAAATTTCCCAGTGCTCCATGTGTGAGCACTCGCATCAAACACTTACTGAGTGCTCAATGGTAGGGACATCACTTGACATCACCATGTAAAGCCCAGTATTTCATGGAGGAATAATTTCAGAACAACACAAATGCTGCACACAGAAGATTAAGTCTGCCCAAAATGTAACAACCTGCCTCTGTACTGGAACAATAAAGAGCCTTACTGTTTAAACACACACAATAAACAAGCAAGATGACACTGTGTATCATTTTAAAAAGCAAAACTTACTGAAAAAGCAACTTAAAATTCATTCCTTAAAAAATGGCACAGCCACACAACGCCCAGCACAGCAGTGTTTACAAGTGAGGACAGCGAATTTGGGAGCCAGACTGCTGACGGGCAAGTCCTGCCTCCCACCCGACCAGTGCTCGTTTCAGCGAGTAAAACCGCGGAGAGGTCGGCGAGTTAACGCCCTCAGGACACTAAGGTAATTTCTACTGCAGCAGATGCGCTCCTCCATTCTCATGTGCACAGTAACAACTGACGCGGCGGTCTTGGAAGCGGAAGACGTATGTCCACAACAGAACTAGGGACAAAGCCACTGGACAATCCAGAATGGAGAGCTACGTAATACGCATGATATGATCCTGCATTTATTTACTGCTATTTTTTTGAGACAGGATCTCACTATGTAGTGCAGGTGGCCTTGAACCTGCTTATGTAGCCCAGGCTGGCCTTGAACTCATGGTGATCCTCCTGCTTCAGCCTCCCAAGTGCTGGATTACAGGTATGTGCCGCCAACGCTGGCATTATTTTTATTTAAAAGCATAAAACTGTTTATATGTTTACATAACCACATGAGAGTCTGGAAAGAAAAAGTAACTGTGGTAGGTTATCTTTGAGTTACTCAAGAAAAAGAAGGAATCACTTTCACATGCTTCCCTATTGTTTGAATTGATTACAAAGAACACGTCAACTGGCAATTTTAGAAAAAGTCTTTTTAAAACAACTCTGTTCTGGGTGCAAGAAACATGGATCATTTACAAGGTCTGACTTAAGCACACTGCGAAAGTGCTCCAGCAGTCACCTTGGGGGATGTGAGACAGGAACAATGTTCTTACCAGGCACACCCACTTGCCACTTTTAGCTTTACGTGTTTTTCCACTACAGAAAAGTATGGACTGATCTCCCTGCTCGAAAGGGAGTGACTACATAAGGTCACCTAAGAAAATCTTGGGAAATATTTACGCTAGATGCAAATGTGGGACAATGGATAGCAGTGGTTCACAAGCCTCAATATACAAACAGAGATGAGGAACAATAGCAAAAGAGGAATTATATCTCGTAGGGGCTGGGGGATTTAGCTTGGGGCTGGGGATTTAGCTCAGCAGCATAGCACCTGTCTGGCAAGTACAAGGTCGTGAGTTCAATTCCCAGCACCAGAAAAAAAAAAAAAAAAAAAAAAGAAAAATATCTTGTAGAAGGTGAGTGATCCCAAGTAAAGTGAGTCCAAAAGCTTTCCCCAAGAGGACAGAATGAATCTCAGAAAACCACACAGAACAAAGACAGTGAGATTTGCTCAAGACAAAAGCTTCAACAGCCGCCTAGTAAAAGCAAGAGATACTTGGAACATCAAATGGCATAAATCTTGACTGAAAAGGCTTTTTCTTAACAAAACAAATTCCAAAAGCACAATGATTTGAATGCAAAAGGTAAAGTTAGATGTCCTTCAGAGACACTGATAAACTTTGGATAGGGACGCTTTCTAATAAGGCAGGACATGCCTAAGACTGACAGATCAGCCTGTGTTACTCAGATCAATTTATGCAACAAAAGAACCCCCACACACAAAGGGCAAAGAATCCCACTGGGGGCATCCGCCACAGGCTGACCAAGGGCTGGCACAACCGAACGGGGTCCTCGCAAATCAACACAGAAAGACTAGTCTGTCAGTAAGGAAAGAAGCACAAGTGAGCATAGGTCAGCTCTAAAGAAGAAATGCAAAAGGTCAATAAAAATAAAGATTCCCCCAAATGTATATTCTCATGCCTCCTGCTGGTAGAGGACTATTGGTACATCCTTCCTAGAGGCCTGGCCAGAACTGAGAACGCAAAACAAACAACCCCAAATTTCTGACCCAATAATTCAAGTAGTAGGAATCTTCTTCAAGAAGAAAAGCCTAATTAGAGAAGTACACAAAAGAGTATGTAAAATGATGTTCATAATATTATTTGTAATAAACACACACACTTTCAAAAGACCGATTAGGCACCTTATGATAAAGCCACGTGGTTTAAGTCAGCCATTAAAAACCATGCACACTGCCTACTACTGTAACACCCTGGGAGGCTGAGGCAGGACTGCAAGTTCAAATGCAGCCTGGGCAAACTTAGCAAGACCTTGTCTTTATAAAAAAAATGCAAGGATGTAGCCCAATGTGAAGGCCCTGAATTCAATACCTCGTACTGGAAAAAAAAAAAATCATTATGTATATCTAGATTCATTAGCTTGAAACTATCTCTATAATGCATCATCCAATGATCTGATGTATGGTGACAAAAAAAATTCAAAATTTCATGGTGTGGATCCTTCTACTGTTGCAGCAGGTTTGTGGTCAAATTTTTGAATTGTGAATCATTTTAGGTTTCAGATTAGGGATGCCCAAACTGTACTACAGTTCTACTTACGTAAAACTCTTAAGTGTATACACAAGCATGTGTTTATTCTCATTGCAGAAAAACTAAACCCACTTTTAATTTTGGAGAAAAAATTTTAGAAGTTTGACAAGAAGATCAAAGGCACAGAGGTCAAAGCAGAAGGTACTGACGCTGAAGGACAGCTGTTGGTCCCACGTCTTGAAGGTCTCAGTAAGGAGCACTGGGCTCCAGGTACCACCGCTACTCACAGAAGGTGGAGTTTGTGGAGACATTAGCAGAGGGTCTGGACTTGGGCACCAAGTCAGGGAGGTTAGAGAAGGCATGAAAATAGAAGCATGAAATGGAAAGCTGATGTGAACGGAACAGAGACTACCTGTCCTCCTTTCCTCCTGTGTCTAAATGATCAACAAGCAGGTTTCTTCTTATACCCGCACCCAAGCCAGGCCACAGATGTAAGGCACCTCCACTTAAAAGAGGCAGTAGCCACCTAAGCACCCAGCTAAAGCCTGTCAGTGGGCGAGGCACAGCAGCACACACGTCTATAATCAGACTTTATTACATCGCCCTTCCTGCTGAACAGTCAAACATCAACAGAAATTTGAAGTAAGCCTCCAACACAGAAGGTAAAAAAACCAAAATTAAAGTCATCGAATGAAATGTAAACAGCAACAAATTAAGCAACAAATGAAATGTGAACCGCAACTTCAAATTAAGTACAAAAATATGTTAAAATCAGGATAAAAAAAAAGAAAGAGAAAAGGCTCTTGGAAATTAAAGACACCGGACAGGAAAGCAGTACGAATGAAAAGCCGAAGCAGAAGAATCTACAAATAGTAGAACAAGCGGACAAAGAGATGGACAACGTACAGGACAAAAAAAATACTGTACGAAGTACTCATCCCTGTGGCGATGGAGAACAAGGACAGAGAGGGGAGGGCAGGAGCGAGGGGAGGAGCAGACACAACTGAGGGCTTGAAAGCAAAGTCTCAAGAAAGGCCGCCTATTCCTCCTTCCCTAGAAACACTCCGGAGAGGTACACCAGCACAATAAAGGAGAACATGAAGAAGCACGGCACCAGGAAACAGGGACTCAAGGCCAGAAGCAGGCGAGGAGTCCCATGGAGAGGGCCGAAGACGCCCTGCACGGAGGCACACACAGCTCCGGCTGCTGGTCCACCCTGGAGCGAGGGGCAGGTCATCGGCGCCAACAAGTGAGACAGCTAACGGTAAGGACAAAGAGTCTAAGGGAGGAACTACGGCCACAGCAGTCAGGCTAGCAGACGAAGCTGAGTAGTTTAGACCTGAGACACGTACTTTCTCACACGTGTGATGCGTTCGGCCAGGGCGCGGGGTGCTCACGAGAAACACAACACAGAAGCGCCAAGAGCCACCTTGCCAGAACAGAAACCAAAACATCACCGCGACCATTATTTGTCAGAGTCACACACTGGACCACACCTCAACAGCATTAAGTTCAGTGTGTGGGAAATAACACCAAGTACCAGAAAATACAGGGCGCGAGAGCTGAAAACGGTCCTTGGGCAATGGATGGTTTCACACATAAATAAAAATGAACACAAAGAACAACCAAAAGAAGCCAGAGATGCCTAAGAAGAACACCGCACCCGGAGCACTGTCACAGAAGTCAGAGGCTCGGAGGGCAAACACACCGGACCCTTGGACCTGTTATCCAGCGGACCTGAGCTTTCCCAGGTTCTCTCTCTGCCTCTGAAAAACTCAGGCGACATCGTCTGGCCCATGGAAGTCCAATGGTGCTACTCTGAATGTTGCTAAAATCCCCAAACAATCGATTAACCTGACTGCAAGCCTTACAGAACCTGAGCCCCGGAGGCCCCAACGTGCCCAGACACTACACCAGGCAAGCTTATCTGTGCCGAGTCACCCAGGCAATGCACCGCGACCCGCTGCAGTTCCTTTCAGCTTCCAAGCAAGGTTAAAAGCATTAAAGAGAGATGTGGCAACTTAATTTGCCGATGCCTAATCCCTACAACCTAAACTGACCAGAACATTCCCTGAAATACCACAGGAGTCAGAAAAGGAGAGGAAGAAACAAACTCCTGTTACAGAAAGGGGCAGGAGCGCCAACCTAAGAGCAGGCAGGGAGCTGAGAAGAGCTCGACCCTTTCCTCTGCTTTCCTTCAGCCGTAATGAGGTAAACTGACCGTTGGGATCAGGCTTGCTGCGTGGCAGAACACAAGCTCGGGTTCTTGCTTGACAACTTGTTGCTAAATCACTAGAAACTAGTCCCAGGACTGAACCAAATCCTTCACACACTCATCTGAGCTCTTCACTGGGCCCCTCCGCACCAGCCCCAGCTAGCTGGAAGATGTTCTCTGCTGCCCTGGTATCAGGAGGACCACAGCAGCACTATCCAGGCACACTCCCCTAACAAATGCTTTGGGCTGACCTTGATGTTTAGTGCTTCTGTCCTGGGAATCCCAACTAGGTCTAGGGCAGTCCTAAAGGAATTCTGTGTCCCTTCTAGGGCAACTCCAGCTACAGATCTGGCTGAATAAAACAGGAGATCCCCCGCCCCCCGCTGTGTCCTTATCCACCTGTTTCTGTAACTTCTTATCCCAGCAGACTTTTCTCAATGGCGGCATGGATCTAGCCTGGAAGACTGCTTAAGTACTGGTGGAAAACACAAGTGCCCGCAGAGAGTAATGCAGTTTTGGATCAGAAACACCAGGGTCACAGATCTGATTTTCACAGACATGCCTACCTTACTCTCACAGAGCTATTTCAAACAGATTCCAAGAACAGCAGGGTAAGTGCAATTACTGTATTAATTACCCCAATGTTCCTTATTTAGTATATGTGCTGCCGAAGCAAATACTACCTCAATGTTCTTAAAACATTTTTCAAAAAGTTTTTGAGCCAACTGTGTTTGTTGTCACTTAAGTCTGTCTTCTCCAGGTCAGATTCCCTTCTGTGGGATAAAAACGCTAATTCCTAGTACAGGTCAAAGGCCTGAGAAAACAGTAAAATAAGTGGCTTTTCCACATGCACTGTGAAGAGTACCGGCTGCGTGCTCCTGGGTGTCCTTCACCCCTCCTGGCTGCAGTCTCTTCTCACTCTCACGATCAGAAAGTGAAGCTGCTGGGCTAGATGGTGTTTACGGCTCTTTTCAACTCCAAATGGAAACCCACACATCTCGAAGTTCCCCACCCCCGACGCCCGCTTGCAGGAAGCACAACCCTACCTTCTTCATCGAGTCCCCCGATGATGTTGTAAACGTAGTAGGGAAAGAAGCGCCTGGAGTACAGGATGGTGGACAGCATTGCGGCAATGGCCCCTGTTGTCATGGCCTTATTATTGGAATGCTTATACATCTGCACAGTAAGCAAAACAGGCACATGGAGGCAGATTTCATCACAGTCCAGCAAATGCACACCTTACCGAGCAAATACATACCTTAGCAGAAGGGGAGAGCCTGCCCGTTCCTTTCATGATCAAACAATACAACATCACTAACAAAGTAACCTTTAACCCTAGATTTGAGAGCTTTAAAATTTTGAAAAGAAAAATGCTAAGTTTATACTCAACCCTTTGGTTTAAAGAGTCTGGTTAAAAAAAAATAGAGAAAGCCTATTTCCTATATCAGCTTCATCTCAGGTACTGCTAGTTCAAGAGCAAATGCACACAAACAGCACAGCAGAAGCCCTGGGAAGATGTCCCAACCCACCTCTGCCTCACTGCGCACTAGGGGCCAAAAAACTATGGTGTATACAGTCCTGGAATAAACCCAGCCCACTATGTTTCTGCAACTCAAAATTTACTGACCACAGCCACACTCATTCATTACATATTATTTCCGTCTTTTCAGTACAACACAGCTGGGTGTGGTGATGCATGCCTGTAATCCCAGTACTGGGGAAGCTGAGGCAGGAGGACTGCTGCAAGTTCAAGGCCAGCCTGGGCTACAAAGTGAGCTCAAGGCCAGCCTGAACTGCACAGCAAGACCCTGTCTCAAGAAGACAAAAAACACCCACAAAAGTTGGATAGTTGTGACAGAGACCAAACAGCCCACAAAGCTGAAAATATTGTCTGGCCCGTTAGCGATACACGTTAAGTCCACCTACCCTGATCAACCCGAGGTAGGTTCCTCTCTCTGTAAACATGAGATCTAAAGGCAGCATCCTTACTCTACATGATTCTGATACAAAGTAATGGTCTTGTTCCTCAGGGCCTGCAGTGGATGGACAACTGGTGGTCAACTTATACCCCCCAGCTGAACTGAGTAAGTGTGGGTGTGGGAGGCCCACCTGAGGACCGTTGCCAGCAGCATAAGAGGCAGAACTGGAGAAGGAAAAAAAAGCTGTTGGGAGCACAGAGAGGCTGCTGGGAGCTGAGAAAGGCTGTTGGAGCTGGTAGAAGCTGTAAGGAGCTGTTGGTTCTGTTGGAGGAGCTTGTCATGCTGGCTTTCCTGATGAACTTGGCTATTTTCATCCTCCAAGGAGTTCGGGACCTTGTTGGCACTGAGAATAGCTTTGGTTCACTTTGGGGGAGCTCTGGTCCTCACTTTCAACATTGCTTCCTGGCTTTGGAGGAGAAGATGGTGCACTGCTAGTCTCCTAGAGAAGCTTGCTGCGATGGCTTTCCTGATGGGAACTCAGCTGTGTTCACCACTGCAGGAGCTCGGGACCTTACTATCACTGAGGATGGCTGTGATACTTTTCGGGGGAGCTCTGGTTCTTACTTTGCACATGGCTTCCTGGCTCCAGTGCTGATCCCTCAGCCTGCTAGCACAGATCCTTCATCCTGCTGGCACAGACTTCCTAGATTCCACCACTGACCTTTGGGCCTTCCCAGTGCAGATCTGTGAAACAGGCCTGCATGAGATATTGTTATGGGCTCTGAGTCTCCAGCTGGACTCGTGGGAGGCACTGTTATGGGCTCTAGGTCTTCAGCTGGACTCATGCTGGACATTTCCATGGAATTCAGGCCCTAAGCTTGATTCTCTGGTGTGTGGACAGATTTCCTGACTATTGTATATGATTCTTGGGTGACTATTATAAATAATCTTATAAAATATGTGTTTGGTATTATATTGTTCTCCCTTGCAAAACAACCCCCAAACCATAACAGGGCCTCTACAGCAGAGAATATTAAGTATCAAATACAAGATCATAGGCCTGGGCATGGTGGTGCAGCCTGTGATCCGAGCACTCTGGGAGGCTGAGGTAGGAGGATAAGTTCAAGCCCAGTGCAGGCAACTCAGTGAGATCCTGTCTCAAAATAAAACATGTAAAAACAGGGCCAGCATGGAACCTAGTGCAAAGGTCCTGGGTTCCATCCCTAGTATTGCAAAAAAACCAAAACCAAGTCAAGATCCTATGATGACAATGTCGTGATTTCATAATCCTAGATTTATCATATCCATGGGAATCCTAAATTATTCCAGTAACAGAAATTCCACAAAAGTTACAAACACAAAATGGATTTAAGTTCACCAAGTTGTCATTCACATAGCAAGCATCTCCAAAGGTAAGTCTAAAAAGTACTATAAAATTAACAAAAAATGAAAAACCACCCTCCTAAAAATCAGAAAGTATTATAAAATCAAACAATGACAGTAAAAATGCAGACAACTGAATAGAAACAAACTGTACTATTTAAGTAGATAAACTGACTACACAGGAATTGCTTCCTAAAATTACTTATCATAAAGATCCTCTTGCCTCAGCCCCTTGTGTACTGGGACTACAGGTGTGTGCTGGTGAGTCACATCTTTTCTAAGCGCTTAGAAAGCAAGTTTCAGTAAATTAAATGCTACCTGCTTCAGTGACTGTGACACCACCCACAGTAAGCAACCTGGAGTGGTAGGCAAAACAGATTTGTCAGTCCTGCTCATGTTTTCGGGTCAAACCTCCCTGGGTTGTACCCCTCACCCATGCTCATAATCTCTTCCAACTCCTGCTCCCGTCAACTAAGAGTGTAAGGGTGTAAAGAGGAACAGCATGTCAGCACAACATTCGACCAAGTTTCTGTCTAACAGTCTGAGCTATCTCCTGCCAGAGTGACTTGTCTTGGTTTTGGAGGGAAGAGTACCTTCAGAAGACTTTTACACGGCTCCAAGTTACAGTTTGACATGATTGGACTTTAATGTTCCCACATTAATGGTATGATTTCATTTCTAGGGTATGTCACCATTTTGGCAGTTAACTTAGAACACCTCTACCTGTTCTAAACAGTGTCATCTTCAACAGCACAGGCATGTACAAGAGCATCTACCTTTAGTCTTGCTTCAATAATCTTTGTCAGAGTGAGGCAGTCTCCATGAAAACCGCTGCATCCAATGACTGTTTTATCTGTTCTGTAAAAAGTATATTTGAGGAAACTGAGTTGACAAGACTATAAAACAAAACATATCTTCAGCAATTTTAATTTTAAATTCCTATTTTGATTATTTGGTAAAGGGACAGTTGTCTCATTTACCTTTAAATGGTAAATGGACAACAAGCCAGGAGCAGGGTGTCTACACTCCTATACACCTTACAGGTGGGCCAGACTTTTTGACAACATAAAAAGTTAAAATTTCTACAGAAAAGAGTACAGATTTCAAAAAAGAAAGAAAAACAAAGTTAAGAAAATTTATTGGTAGCACATATGATCAAACTTTCACCTTAATCTCCTTAGCCTACTAAGGCTTCCTATAAATAAGAAAAATGCTTCAAAAGAACTAAATTTTTCATGTAAGTAACACTACAATGGAAAGACAGGTAAAATTTTATGAACAGACAAGTCACAGAAAAAAACCAGACACAAGTCAGCAATGAAACATGAAAAGCCTCTATATTACTCATAACCTAACGAGGGGTAATTTCACCTGACCAGACTGGCCAAAAGTTCCTAAGAAATGCTGATGAAGAGGAAGAAGACAGGTACTCTCAGTGCACAGAAAGAGCATAAATTGATGAGCTTTTTGATAGGCAATTTTTTTTTTTTGTTTTGCTTTGTTTTGTTTTTTGTTTTTTTTCTGGTACCGGGGATCGAACTTATGACCTTGCATTTGCTGGGCAGATGCTGTGCCCCTGAGCTAAATCCCCAGCCCTTAATAGGCAATTTAGCTCTCTACCTAGTAAAAAATAGACATTTCTTTCATTCACGAATGCCATTCTGTCAGTGGACTCACACACGTTGGCAGACACATGCTCTAGTTCTGTGAGCACACACAAAACACCCCTCCCACCTCTGTACCTATCAGCAGGGGACTGATTACATTTTCACACATCCATACAAATTCAACCCCTGTATCTCAAAACTTGACCCCTAAGTATTGAGTTCTATAAGGAAATCTGAACCCATCTTGTTGAAACCAACTCACCACACAGAGTTAAAGTCCACCCATCTCTGTGTCAATTAAAAATAAATATAAAAATAACTACAAAAACCAAGACCCTCTATCACCCACAAGGCTGTACTGCCTTTATTGCCATGGTGGGCTGAAAAACAGCAAAGGGCCAAGTTTTAGAACTTCAAGATGCTCCTCCCAAATACCCAGGTGCTTTAAGGGATGGAGTCCTCATGGGGCGAATGGCCAGTGTGTGCCACTTCAAACAGAAAGGCAAGGTCAGCCAGTAAGGGCATGAGACCCGGGTATCTGACAATGCTGTACTGTGCTGTTCTCTATCTCCGTGTCATAAGTAGTTCATAAATCAGACGGGTGCTCACTTAGCAGTACAAACTACAACAGATGCTACCAAGCTGGGCAAAAGTTCACATAAGACGGTTTCAAAATTATCTTTATATTTCCTACTCTGAAATTCTACAAGCTACATATCAGAAGAAAAGGAAAGGGCACACTGGTGGAGAGGAGGAGGAGACAGGGACAGAAAGGAGCTGGGATGACAAAGACCAGCACTGTTACGATGTGGGTCGTGGCTGGGACCAGGACACAAGAGAGTTGTCCCCTTCCTCTCTACTTCTACAATATCAGAAAACACCATGCTTAGGACCTCCTCAATCTGTTCCAAGTCAGGCACTGTGACTAATGTTCAAATTAACTGCCACTTTACAGCATTTCTAAAATGATCAAACACAAATCCCGCCACTCTACAAGACGCATTTAGGTGATATACAGGTATTTGGATATATGGTTTCATTTTCATATTTTAGGGGGAAAAGCTACCTAACCCATTAGCACTGTAAGGTGTGGTCTGTAACTGCTTAGGATATATCTAAACTAAACATTCTGGAGGAAAAAAGGAGCACAGATTTTAAAAACTTTTAATGGGTAACGGTGCTATGGTTCCTCCCAAAACTCACACTGAAATTTAACTGCCACTGTGACAGTCCTGGGAGGTGGCACTGCAGCTGGTGCCCTAACAAATGGATTAAGGCTGTTACTGCAGAAGCAGTTCACCCCTTCTTGCCCCCTCTCTTTGCCCTCCTGCAATGCTGTAACACAACATGAAGGCCCTGAACCACATGCTGGTGCTTCAGTCTTCCCAGCCTCCAGAACCGTGAGCCCATACACATATGTTCACTGTTCTCCAGCCCGTGGTACTGTGACAAAGACCCAAACAGACTTAGATGAATGGACAGAAGGGTAGAACAAAATGTGTTAACGTCCAATAAAATGCTAGTGGAGGATCTAGGGGATGGGTGTTTACTATAAAAGCACTGCTGGGGGGCTGGGGATTTAGCTCAGCAGCAAAAGCGCCTGCCTGGCAAGCGCAAGGTCGTGAGTTCGGTTCCCGGTACCGGAGAAAAACCAAAAAAAAAAAAAAAGCACTGCTGGTACACAAATAAGGCAAATGTCATATAAAATTACATACCAAATTCTTAGGAAACAGAAAACTTTTTTCTGGTAAAATGCAAAATGTGCTACTAAGAGGCAACATAAAAACTCATGAATCAAACAGTTTAACAAGGGGAGTCTCTTGTAGAACTAGGTCATCACAAAGGCAACATGGAAAGTGTCATCAAAAATATTTACTTACAATTTGTAACATTTGGGGCTGTCCCGGGTGTGAATGGAAAAGCCCTCGCTCAGTCGAGTGTCAGAAGCAACAATTGAAAAATCTTCTCCAGCAATTGCCAATACAGTACTGAGGAAAATCAGAGAAAAAAAAATTAATTCTTCAGAGTAGTAATCCTACCACTCCGAAAAGGACAGTGCTCCCCAGGAAATATTTGGAAAAATCTATCACATGCAAACAAGAGGATTCAAACACAAGAGACCAGGGGAGAGAAAGGACCCCAGTCATCTGGAAAAAGCCTTAATCTTCAATCAGAGCAGTACCTTGCACAAATTGAAAAACCACCAAATCAAAACAATTTAAAACCTACTTATGCAAGATACCAACATTAGAGAACTGAAGGCCAGGTCCGTGGCCTGGAGCACCAAGTGTAAAAGTGGTACTACAATGCAAACTGCAGTCCGAGGAAAGCAGCTTTATCTATGAGACCTGACAGAACACCTAACAGCAGATACTCGGGCAACTGCCAACAAATGAGTGGACACAGCAAAGGCTCTCTTTTCTGGCTCTACAATTTCTGATTGCTTACTGACAGCAGACCACCTGGTTCTGAATTATGTTTTGTTTTGGTTTTTTTTGGTTTTTCTCCGGTACCGGGAACCGAACTCACGACCTTGCGCTTGCCAGGCAGGCGCTTTCGCCGCTGAGCTAAATCCCCAGCCCCTGGTTCTGAATTATGGCTCTTCCACTCAGCAGGTATGAGGCTATGGCTAAGTCACTTTTTTCCTTTTTTTTTGAGACAGAGTCCCACAGTGTGCTCCAGGCTGGACTTGAACTCATGATCCTTCTGTCTCAGCCTCCCACGTGCTGGGATTACAAGTGACCATCCTGGTGTTATTTCTCAAGGCCTCACTTTCCTCATATGTATGACAGAGCTGTAAGAGCAGTTACCTCATCAGGGTGTTGAAAGAATTAAGTGAGTTAATAACTGTAAAGTCCCTCATGTAACTGTTTATAGTAGTGTGTAGCTGTTCCTCTGGTAAAGGAACAGCTACAATTGTGGATGTTCATGAGGACAGTAGAGTGTGAAGACTAAGCAGGTGAGTTCTGGAATCAGGCAGAGACCTATCTTTGCCACCTGTTAGCTGCGTGACCTTGAACAAATTCTCCAAGCTCAAGATGGTGGTACTAACAGCACCAGTGGTATGGGGTGACTGTGAGAACTGAAGGACACAATTCACATAAAGCACCTAGCACAGTGCCTCACAGAACATAAACACTCAGGAAACCGTAGCTACTATTTCTACTCAGACAGGATTTACAGTAAGGCTCTAGAGTAGAAAAGCATGGCATTCCAGGTACTACAAATAGCAAGCAAAGGAAAATAGGCAATAATTACAACAGTACATGAAGGTAACTTACTCAGGTGGCTCCCTGGGTAGCAAGCAGAGGAATTCACTGCTGAAGATTTTGGAATTTTAGCAGGGAACCAAGAATGAGAGCAAGACTGAGAAGAGCAGAGGGACAGAGGGATGGAGCGGGGGTGGGGATGTAAGGAAGATATATCATGTACAGGTACAAATTCCCTGATGAATGTTATTGTATATGTAAAGTACACCAATTTTTAAAAATGAGAACAGCTCCATTTGCACAACTGGGTTTTGAGGGGATTACTGACAATGACATCATACGTGAAGTAAGAGGGAAACACTGTGTGAAGTCCAATGCAACACGATGGACGTGTGGTGGAGAGGAAGAAACAGGCACATCTCAAAAAATTATAAAAACACAAACGGCAAAGTTTTGTTAACTACCTACATGTGACAGAAACTGGGAAAACCATTTAAATCTGGAAAAGCAGAATGACGGCATAATTAAAAGGTGTGTCTTAAAGAAGTGACCAAGTGAAATAAACAGCTTGCCTGTTGTTTTGCTTACTATCTTGAGTAAATCCCCAAAGAAACATCTTTCTGAAGAAGCAAGAATTGAGGGGCTTATGAAAAGTAGAACTGGAGAAATGTGAGAGTGTTACGTAACAAACACAGAGGCTAATGACTTAGAGAAGCCTAATTTTGTAGAAGCAGAGGCTGCCTGCATGCCAGCTGCAAAAAATGTTAAAGCAAAAAGAACAAAGACTGAGAAAGTTATAAGGAACTTTCAGGGAAGTAATGACTTGAACAGGATTACGGTGGGGGGGTGTCAAGAAGTAATGGATACTGAACACTGAACACCTGAAAAAAGATTTTTTTTTTTTGGTCTTTTTGAGACAGGGTCTCGCTACGCAATTCAGGCTGGCCTTGAGCTCACTTTGTAAAAGCCCAGGCTGGTCTCGAACTCATAACGATCCTTTCAAACTCATAATGATCCTCCTGCCTTGGCCTCCTGAGCACTGGGATTACAGGCGTGCACCACCATGCCTGGGTTGAAAAATTCTTATTAAAAAGAATTTATGGAATTCTAGTACTTGGGAGACTGAGGCAGGATTATGAGCTGAAGACCAACCTGAACTACATAGTGAGTCTGAGGCCAGCTTGCGGGACATAGCAAGACCTTTTCTCTAGAACAAAAACAACAACCCCCCCGCAACAAACAATAACAAAAAAGAATTTATAACAGCTTTGTAAAATGGGTCTAATAACTGACCTTACATCAGAAGTATTGAATTAGTCACCATTGGCAGTGTTAAGAAATGTACTGGAACTGGGCCTCCTGGCACATTCCTGTAATCTCAGCACCCTGAGAGACTGAAGCAAGAGGACTGCCAGGTTTCAGTCAGACTGGGCAACTTGACCATATACTGTTTTACAAGGAAAAGGGTAAAGGGTGGAGAGAGCACTGCAAAAAAAAACCCAACCTCAGTGTAAAAGAACTATGAGTTCAAATATCCCAGTCCAGTCTCAACTTGCACCAGTTCTGCGACCAGGATTGTTTAACTTCAATGAATCTTTTAAGAGGTGAATTATCTTTTTTTTTTTTGGTAATGGGACTCGAACTCAGGACCTCGTGCTTGCCAAGCAAAGCACTGTACTGCTGAGCTATATCCCCAGCAAAATGAATTCTCTTAATATCATTGTTCACACATGAGTATTAAATAAGATACTACCCGCAGTTTACAAAATGTGTCTTTCTTGATTCTCCACCAAACTGACACAGCTATGGAAGATAAGGAAATACAGGTTCAAGAATTTAAGACCTAGTGACCACACTGCCCTTCCGTAGTGTAACCAAGGCTGAAACCAATCCTTCACTTTGTAACATACCTCAGAAATCTGCATATTCAACATAATTTATACGAACTCAATGTTCTTGGTTTTCTTAAGAAACCGTGCGAGTTGGCTTTGTAAACTTTAATGTGTGAAGTTTGATCAACTGCTGTTTCAATTGACAGCTCTTCGTCGTCAAGAGTCCTAAATAGTGGGTCTTTCTACAATCTTATTTTTTTAACAAAAAGCATTACTTGCTATAAAGCTGGTGATTAAAAGTAAAAGCAACCTGAGCCTAACATACAAGAATACACATATTTAAAAGTCCCTTTTCTGTTTCCCTGAACTTTAACTAAATTTTGAAAAAGCACCGATCTAAGCCCTTGCCCAACCAATCCCAACTTTTATTTGAAAGTGATCAGACATGTCAGCTACAGACACAATCACGCATTCAACAACCCGGGCCAATCAACCATCACTTTCACGTTCCGGATGCTAAGCTCTACCTTACTACTCTGGCTTTAGAAACGTGTTCAGACCCTACCAAAGCGAAGGTCCGCGGAGCAGAGGCTGTCTCTCTCTCCCTCTCTTTCTCTCTCGAATGTCCCACTGCGGGAAAGCACAGGCCGCGCATCCAGCAGTAGAGCTCGTGGGACCGAGCCGGTGACCCCGGCTGTCAGCGAAACGCGAGCCACCCAGAAACCCGAGAGCCAGCCCGCCGCGACCCCAGAGGCTTGCGCCCGGAAGGGCTAAGGGGAGCGAAGACCCAGGCTTTTACCCTCCGTTAAAAGCGTAGGGCGAAAAGCGCTGCTGCAAAGGACCCGCTGCGCTGTACGACTCCATCGCCAGCTCTCTGCCGGGCCCCAGGTACGAGGATGCAGTAGACAACATCGCGCCGCAGCGTCCCCTCCTGCTGTCTCACGGCAAGATGGCGGCCGCGACTGGAAGCCACACGACTTCCGGCTTCTTTCAGGCGCCCCTCTAGCTAGCACTCGTCGTTGCTCCTGGAGGTTCGCTCAGTGTCCCGACCTATTGCTAGCAGGGCGCCCCCTATTGCGAAAGCCGCCGGGGTGTAAAGATTTTCGTTTTCCTGGGTGTTTCCCCTGTAAGCACTTACTCCAGGACAAAAATTTTTACCTCTGACCGTACGGAAAACTTGGCCAAAATGTGGGGTCACAGAGACTCGAATGGACAAGGGAGGGGCACAGACGGGACTCTGCACACCTCAGGACGCAGCGATGCCACAGCGGGTTTACACCCGGCCGGAAGTCTCGACCAAGTATTCAAATGGCAATGTTCTTTAACGGCTCAAGACTGGACACGAGTCAAATTGCCATAAACAGCAGAACGAATAAATTAACTAAGGTGTAGTCATCCTCTAGGACAGTTCATAGCCAAGAACTGAACCAGCCGGAGCTACACAGGAGGCACAGTGAAGACACTTGAGACGGGGCGCCTTCTAGATACGGTGTTGAGCAGATACACGCTGTATAATTCAGGGTTCGTAAAGGAGAAAGGGCCTGTTTGGTGTCCTGGTGCTGGCAATATTCCGTGTCTTTACTCGTCTTACAACTGTTTGTCAACCTGTACATGTCTTACGGACTTTCTTGTACAAATGTTCTTTTCAGCCAAAAATGCTAGCAGGCAAGCAAGAACTGGCTAATGTCAAGTGGACTATCTGATGTGTACATGCGATTCTGGAACCGGAAAAGTTTTTGTAAAACACCTAATTGTTTTAAAATATCTCGTTTTAATTAACGAGGATAAGACAAAATAGTTTATATACTATCTAAGGACAGATAAGTACATTGTACTTATTCAGGTCTCTCCATAGGTTAACACGGTGCCAGGTACTGTCCTGATACGAAAGAAAAGTATACATTTTTTTGCCCTTAAGAACTCAAAAAGTCACTGATAATACCAAATACAAAGGAAATAAGCATCACAATATGTGAACCCACCTAAATAAGCCACAGGACTGAGAAATCAAGGTAAGCTGGAGACCATTTTTGAAATACCTACAGCGGTCTCTTGGCGAGAAAAAAGTGCACGAGATGGTAGTAGCGGAATTAAAATATAATTGTATAAGCACAAGGCATCTGGTTTTGCTCTTCCTTATTCCGCAAGTGTGATTAGCTAACATTCATTGCGGGCATCATAAGGAACATGTGCTTGCCATAGGTAAAACATCGCCAGTAGGTTAAAAAAACAAAACGAAACCGAACCTTTAAAGATCGGTATCTTCCTCCGTCCCGCAAGGGCCAGTTAGAAAAGGCTGCGCCCGGCGGCCCACCCCGGAACTGTTGAACAGGCCGGCCCCGCCTCCCTTTCCCTACGGCCAGGGTAACACAGGAAGAAACTGAAAGCCCCCAAGTTCCCTGACTGCAGCTTAGCGAGTTCCGCCCGCCGAAGCCGAGGTTGGGACTGGCGGAAGTGACGTTATCAACGCGCGCCAGGCGCTCAGTGGGGTCGCGACTGGTCGCTGTGGCGGGGGCCCGGGCCGCCTGTGGTTGAACTTCCCTTCCGCGGGCTCGTTGTCATCTCTGCAGTGGCTCCAGGTAACGGGCTTTTTACCTTCTCCTGTTCTCCGAGGCCTTGAGCAAAGGCGACCACCGCAGCGAGCCCAGGCGCCGGAGGCGGGAGGAGAGAGGAAGGGACGCCCGGGCCTGCAGGGAGCGTTCCTGCCGCTCGCGCCGCGCCTCTCGGGCCCGTACCCGCCGCCTGGCTGCGACCCCGCCGTAACCGTTCTGTGCAGTGGCGTCCGTTTCACCAGGCAGGCTCTAGGACGGGCCGGCGCAGGCGGGCTGCACACCTGGCACCCAGGATCTGCCTGTCCGGCTGGCCCGTGCTCCTTTTTGGCCGGCGGGTTTCGCCCACGCCCGCTTTGCCACCCGCAGGGGTGGTTTTAGTATAAAGTTGTCCTTGATACTTTTAAAACATGTTGTCAGAAGCCTGTTACTTCGAGCAGGGTTTAGCTTAAGATACAAACACACGTACGCACGCACCATTGTATTTACGAGGTCTGCGTCTCGCGGCTCGTGCCTGCGTAGTGTCCCAAAACTCTAGACGGGCTTTTCTGGGGGAAAAGTTATTATGCCTGAGTTATAGGGCCACGGAGAAGGCGGTGCAGAATTTGATTGCCTTCCAGAAGCCTCCAGTTCGATGCTTTAGTTTCCAAAAGATGAAAACACTGCAAATGGTTCTTTTGAAGAATAAGTTGGTGCAGTAGTGACGGTGTGTGGGTTCGGTACCGGTGAGGGGAAGAACGATGGTTTGTGCCGTTCCTGGGATTGAGAGATGCGCTCTGAATAGTGTGCCAAAGTCGTCCAGCCTTGTGTAACCAACCAGTTCTTTCTGTAGACCTTAAGTTTACGAAAAGTGGTCGAAGGTTCTGGGTAAGAACATAGCAGTTATGTCTTAAGCCGAACTTTCAGCCTCCAGTCAGTTTTTCCTCTCAAATTTACCTACACGCTTGTCAAAGTAGACTACTCATCCAGCACTTCAGAATCCTGTAACTGATCTTACTGTCTACATAATAGCATCTAAAGCTCTTTTTTTTTTTTTGAGATAGGTTATACCAGCTCTGTAGTTTAGGCTGGCTGTGAACTCATTATGTAGCCCAGGCTTGCCTGGAATTCACAGTGATCCTCCTGACTCAGCCTCCCAAGTACTGGGATTACAACCGTGTGCCACCACACCCGGCATTTATATTGAACTGTTTCATCCAGGGAGTGTATTCTTTTCATTTTTGTATCTGCAGCACTGCTATTACAGCAATGTCAGAAAAAAGTGTAAAGTTTCTTTAGCTCCAGTACGTTTATTGTCAAAAGCAGAGCTTTCTTTCTTTGGTCTCTTTTCTAGTGTTGTTTGTGGTATAGAAGTCTTTAGAGTCCTTTGCCTTCTCCAAGTAATTGTCACACTCTTTCATTGGTTCTGCAAATGCCTGAGTATCTCCTCTGTACCAGTGAATGGAATGTGGGTCTTTGGACAATAACCTGTAATTTTGGGACCTGTAAATTCTATTTCAGAGTATCTTCTTAGGTGATAATAAATGTTTGAACTGAAATTTAATAATGATAATAGCTAATATTTGGCCTGTACTTACTAATGTAACAAGGCACACTTTAATGAGTTAACTTGGTCTATTCTACGTTGAATCGATCAGTTCTCAGAACAAGTTATGGGTCTGCCTGAACAGAACTGATCACAGAGGGGAAAAAATGGGGTCTGTTAAGGGTCGGGGATATAGCTTTAGGGTAGAGTGTTTGCCTAGCATGTGTGAGGCCCTAGGTCCCATTCCCGACAACCTCTTCCCCCGCAGTCTCTTAGTAGTCATTATTGGAAAACAATTTCAGATGCATACACAATACAGAGATGATGATTTAAGCAAAGCAGGTATAGGCAGAGTTTACATTAATCTGTTCTGTAGAGCAAGATTATTACCTTTATTAAAACATGTTTCAGTTATGTTATATCTGCATCTTCTTTCACAGACTGTTTATTAAAGTTGGAGCTCAATAAATGATAATACTAAAGTATATTGGGTCCAGTTCTGTATTTATTGAACTTACATGCCTAAGACCTCATGGAGGGTATACAACCGAATGGAAGGTTTTAAAACCTGAACTTAGCCTAACAGTGCTGGATATACATACAGTACTCTATATACATGTTCTACTGTGATAGTACAATATGCTTAAGAACTAGTTTTCTCCTTGGGCATGGTAGTACACGCCTGTGGTCCCAGCAGTCTGGGAGGTTGAGGCAGGAGGATCACTGCAAGTTCAAGGTCAGCCTGGGCTTCATAGTTCAAGGCTAGCCTGAACTGCATACTAAGACCCTGTCTCAAAAAAACAAAAAACAAAGAATTAGTTTTCTCTAAGTGCTTTTCCCCAAAAGTTTTTAACACTTAATATGACACCTTTAGGTAATTTTATATATCATCACAGAAAATGTGAAAGAGGGGTGTGGACTTCAGGATTCCAAGGCAAAAAAAAGTACTCCAAAATAACCTCATTGTTTTTCTTAATTTACTTTGTGTACAAAACTGTGGTTATACGACTGTATGAACTAATTGTGTCTTACCTCTGTGTGTGTGTGTGCACGTGCGTGTGCCTTACCTTAAACTTCAATTTTTTTTTTTCTAAGCAGCATCACTCTTTCTTGGTGTGTGAAGAAAGTCCAGAGAACTGAGGCAGTTTCTAAGAAGAGTGTGCTAGGGATGCTCTAGGAAAAGACTGAGTGCTGAAGAACAGGAGCATCATGGATCAGAACAACAGCCTGCCGCCTTATGCTCAGGGCTTGGCCTCTCCCCAGGTAATAGAGTGGGTGGGCATAGGGTGGGCTGACACCTGGGCAGCAAGAGACAGCTCGCAGGACAGGGGGCATTTACCCACCTGTGACTGACAGTGGATTTGTGTCTTTCAGGCGTTGCGTCGTGTGCGCGGTTCTTTTAGTCTTCGAATGGGCACAGTGTTTTGTTTGGGCATTTTGTTTGGAAGTTAAAATGTGTTTGTCTATAAAACAGCTTGTGACAAGCGCTTATAGGAGAAAGTTCCAAATGATTCTAAAGGTCTTTGACTTTGAAAGTTACCTTCACCAAATTATTTTCTAATTTTATCTTTTTCTTTTTATAGTAAAAGTTCTAAGTCATAGATCTTTTTAAAAAAATTTTAACAACCTCTGTTGAAGTATAATTCAGATACAATAAAAAACATCATTTTAGTGTGCCTTTTTTGTTTGTTTTTTCGTTTTTGAGACAAGTTTCACTATGCAGTTCAGGTGGGCCTTGAGCTCACTTTGTAGCCCAGGCTGGCCTCAAACTCACAGAAATCCTCCTGCCTCAGCCTCCCAAGTGGTGGGACTACAGGCATACGCCACCATGCTTAAGTGTACCTTTTCATAATTGTATATACCTGTGTAAATTATTGACCATTTCTTTTACCCTAAAAAGTGACTACTAAATCTGTTTTTCATTGCTAAAGATTAGTTTTGCCTTTTTGAGATTTTCATATAAATGAAGTCATACAGTGTGTACTTTGGTTCCCTTGATACATTTTCTGTATCAGTAAATAATTCATTTTTATTGCCAAGTAGTACTCCTTTGTATGGCTTACCACAATTTATCTATTCTGTAGTCTCTGACATTTGAGTTGTTTCTATTTTGGGGGCTGTTATGCATAAAGTACCATAAACATTCATGTGTGTTGTGTTTTTATTTGTCTTGGGTAAATACTTAGCAGTGGGATTGCTAGGTCATGTGCAAGAGTATATTAAGCTTTATAGCAAATCCATCAGACTATTTGCTATGTCTTTACCTTTTTGCAGTCTACTAGTAGCTGGAAGAATTCTAGTTGCTCGGTTTCCTCACTAGCACTTTGCACTGTCGGGGCTGGTAGTGATGGTGGTTGTTTCTTTCCACCACTCTAGTGGTCGCTTCATAGTATTTGGGGGGCAGTGATATCACTCCGTGGCACAGCGCCTGCCTGGCAAGTACAAGGTCCTGAGGTTAATTCCTGGTACCAAAAAAATAAAAAACAAAATATTTGATTGTACATGTGTATGTGTATTTGTGGTCCTGGGGATGGAACCTGGGGATGCTCTACCACTGAGCTACATTCTCTTTATCTTTTATTTTGAGACACGGTCTGGGTAAGTTGCTCAGGCTGGCCTTGAACTTGGAGTCCTGCTGCCTCAGCCTCCTGAATAGCTGGGATTACAGGTGTGTGCAAGACGCTTGGCTCATTGTGGTTATAATTTCGATTTTCCTGGTGACTAATGATCCTGAGGTCTTGCCAGATGCTTTATTGGCCATTTATATATCTTCATTTGTAAAATGTCTTTCACGTCTTTTGCCATGTTTTATTACTTGTTCATTTTATTGTGTGTTTTAAGAGCTCTTTATATTCCTTTCTCACATGTACATAATATGGATGTTTTTCTCTCAGTTGGCTTGCCCTACAAGTTCTTAATTTTTTTTCTGAAGTCCAATTTATCAGTTTTTTTTTCAAGGATACTGCTTCTGTGTCCTCAGCAATTCTTGTCTACCCAAAGTCATAAGGATTTTTCTCCTTATACTGTAGTTGTGGTTTTAGTTATGTCTGTGAGCTGTTTGAAATTAATTTTTACATGTGATTGAAAGTAAGGCTGACGTTTAAAAATCTTAATATTTATAGTGATGTAATCTAGTTTTTTTCTCACAGATATTTTTAGAGAAATATGTGATAGTTGCAATAAAACTTACTTAATACCTAGATTAATAGCCACAATATAGATTTGCCCTTCCTTTGTATTCTGCCTGCTGCTGTGTTGTTAAAACATGTAAGTATGTCATTAGTCATGTTTACCTTGTCCTTTCTACTAAAGTAGTGGCAGTGAGAAAGAATCCTGGCTCTTTTTTTGTATCCTGCATGTATTTGAGAATCTAATGAAAGCTGGGGGCCTCTCCACTCAAAATACACGCATACTGTTGCACATAATGCAAGGTATGATTGAAAACCATGGTGAGCTGGGCGTGGTGGCGCACGCCTGCAATCCCAGCACTCAGGAGGCTGAGCCAGGAGGGTCCACACTAGTTCAAGGCCAACCCGGGCTCCTAAGTGAATTGAATCCCAGCCTGAACTACAGAAACCGTGTCTCAAATAGACAGACAGAAAGCAAGCCATGGTGTTTAAACTTTTAAAATGTCACTATAGTAAAAGACACATTGCCATTCGTCCCCTTCAGAGTACCCCGCCCACTTGGAACACACTCACCTGCCATCCCTGCCGCTTTCTGAAACAGTTCTTAGAGTTCTTTTCCATGAGTATCTGTAGTTGCACTGTTGTGACTACTTTGATGTCCTGAATTAATTCAAAGTGTTTACATTTCATGGTCATTTTGACTTTGGGGGCAGGGAGCCAGAGGTCGCTGAGTGCCTGGTCCTGTGAATGAGGTGGATGAGGACACACTGTAAAGTTTGTTATAAACCTACCTTTCTGTTGGATGGCATTTGGTAGCAGGATTCACTGTATTTTGGATCACACCTTGTAAGAGATCCACAAAGCTGTCTGTAGCCCCTGTAAACTTAGCTGCACTGATGTGGGTATGAGGGGAGCACTGGCCTGGGTCTGTGGACGTGTGCTTCTGGTCATTTGCTCATGAAACCTGTGCCCTTGGGCACATTGTGTGCCCTCTCGGGGCATCAGTTTCTTATCTTCACATGGAAAGAACAGTTCTGTTCTCCTTCCCCAAAGGACCGCTGTAGACTTACATAAATTAGCAAGTGTAACAGTGTCTGGGAAAGCTGAGATACATGGTGGAAAAGCAGAACGGTGCTATTTTTTGTAGATTTATGCTTCTGGAACAGCAAGTGATCAACCTTTTTGGATAATAATCTAATTGTCATCCTCATGGTTAGTAAAATGACGTTTCATTGTTTTCTAAGTGCCTGTTTTTCTGTTTAACATTTTGGGTGGGTGTCTCTAGGCTGAGCATACAGTTGACCATCCACACTGGGACAGACACTTGAAGAATAGAAGGGGTGCTATCCCAGGGGCTTAAACAGAGATGTGTAGTCACTCGGTTATCTCCCTTTGTTCTTCGTAGTAACCATAGTCCATTATTATGACCTAGATATACTTGAAAGGTTAAGCAACTTCCTCTTTTTGTATATTCTCATGTGTGATAAGTAGTAGTGGATTCCAAATCCCAAGTTCTAGTCTGCTGTGTTCAGTATTAAAAAGAGAGCTTTGTGTTTAAGAATAGCAGGCTCTTGCCCAATAATGTTCAGTTACCCACTATACCCAGAAACATCAGCCTGTACACGTTTCACCTGTGGTTACACTGGAAAAGGCCCACAAATCCTTATGCCAGCAGTCCGCTCATCATTTCCTTTGCTTCCCATAGGGTGCCATGACTCCCGGAATCCCCATCTTCAGTCCAATGATGCCTTATGGCACGGGACTCACACCGCAGCCTGTTCAGAACACCAACAGCCTGTCTATTTTGGAAGAGCAGCAGAGACAGCAGCAGCAGCAGCAGCAGCAGCAGCAGCAACAACAGCAGCAGCAGACAGTGGCGGCTGCGGCAGCAGCTGTGCAGCAGTCAGCACCCCAGCAAGCGACTCAAGGGGCCTCAGGCCAAACCCCACAACTCTTCCATTCACAGACTCTTACAACTGCACCCTTGCCGGGTACCACGCCCCTGTACCCCTCCCCGATGACCCCCATGACCCCCATCACCCCAGCTACACCAGCCTCTGAGAGCTCTGGGATTGTGCCACAGCTGCAGTGAGTACCTGATGTTGTGTACGTGCTCCCCTGCCCCAGAGGGTCCCTTCCCGTGCGCTATCCTCCGTGCCTTCAGAGGGCTCAGCTTAGCTGAGGGAGTGGAACCGCGGTGCCCCGTGTCCTTGAGAGGGAGCCACAGCCGTCTAGTGAGCCAGTCCCTTCTGAAAAACTGTCCTAACGTTTTCGGAAACAAGGTCACTTGTTTTGATGTAGTCGTGTCATCACAATTAAAGCTGGGTTTCCTTGTAGGAAACATTTGCTGCCCCGACCTCATATATTGTACAGTCTGTCACAGGTCACCGTGGTCCTTGTTTTTCTTTGTATTTACTATGAGAGTTGCTACACATCCTTTAAGATCTGTATCCTTCCCACAGGGTAACGATGATGGTTCTTGTCTGAAGTGAGTTTTTCTATCTCTGAATGAAGTGAGTCACCAAAACGGTTGTTGTGGTGATTTTTTTCCTGAAAATCAGGCAGATATTGCTGGGTATCAGTCAGAAGCACATAGCTCTTACTTTTTGGGAGCTTAAGGGTAAATTAAAGGGTTGCAGTCATGACAGTACAGCTGCCCCCTTTTCTCACCTTCCTTTAGGCCATTGCTTCCCATTTGCAGGCTCATCATCCTGTACTTACGTGGTTGTCATTTAAACAGATCCTGACCATTGGCCAGGATGTTGCTTCCACAATTTTGTTTGACCCTACACAGTTTTTTTGAAAAAGTAACTTTAATGACTTTAGGAAGGGAATTTCTGTTAGCTCACCTTTGTCTCTACTGCTCCCAGTTGTGCATGCTTGATTCCCATGAGAATTCAGATCTGTATTTTGGCTTGAATCATAAATAATAACCAGTTTGGAACAGGTATTTTATTCTGATATTCCTCGGGACATTACTGAGTTTTCATTATCAATAAAAGCCATATTAGGTGGGAATTCATTGTGTTTAAAACCTTATAGACTTAATAAAAATTAAATATTTAACTGCTGAAGATAGATGAGTGCATTTACCAATTACATGATCAAGTTTGTGACAGATGCACCAAAATTTACTTGATGCAGATATAGTTCATAGGTGGCAAAAGGCTGGGGGCAGGTGTGTATACAAAGGTGAGGAAAGTTGAGTGTGGTGGTGGGTGCGTTTAATACCAGCATCTGGGAAGCTGAGGCAGGAGGACTGCTGTGAGTTCAAGGCCAACCTGAACTGCTTACTGAAACCCTGTCTCCAAAAAACAATGAAAAATAAAAAGATGCATGAAAAAAACAGATGATGTGGAAGTGAAAACACAACCTATTGGCTATTTGATCATGCATAAAGGCGACTACTGTTGTCTTTCTTTTCTCCTTTCTAGCTGTCTGTCTGTCTGTCTGTCTTTCTCACTATGAAATTCAGGCTGGCCTTGAACTCACTAGGTAGTCCAGGCTAGTGAACCCACAGTAATCCTACTGCCTCACCCTCCTGAGCACTGGGATTCCTGGCATGTGCCATCATGCCTGGGAAGACTGCTGTTCTTAATAAGATTGTGAGCCATCAGATTTTCACAAGTTTTGCTTTCTGACAGTAGAAGAAATTAGACAGAAAAAAACAGTGAGCTAGAACCTTTTGTCTGTGTACAAAGCATGATGGACATAGACAGTGAGTGTTTATATTTGTGATAGTAATTAATGGCACTGTCATTAGTTCCCTTCAAAATACAGATGAAAGAATCAGATTCCTGGATCATCATTTAACACCACTATGTAAAGGTTAATTACTGTACTTCAAATAACCATGTTTTCTTTTCAAATTTCTTACAGAAATATTGTATCTACAGTAAACCTTGGTTGTAAACTTGACCTAAAGACCATTGCACTTCGTGCCCGAAATGCTGAATATAATCCCAAGGTCAGAACTATTTTCATGTACTTTAAGCCATCTAGTTAAACGGGAGTCTTACAGTATTTCCTGGGTCAGAAAGTTTGTGTTGTGCTTAAGTTTTTGACAACAGTAAAATGAGGATGCAGAGTAAAATTCGTAAATATAAGAAGTTTATTCAACTTGAATTTTATTGAATATGTATTATGTACGAGTCCCTTGGGATTTGGCAGTTCATGAGGTAAACTCAATTTGTATACACTTTCATTATAATGGGGACCATTGAAGGTGGAGAACAGGATATGGTGCCTTTAATGCTTTGAACCATGTGGGAAAGAATGACATGGTGTGTGGTGGGCTCTTTTGTGTGTGAGGAGGTGTTGTTGTTTGTATTTTTGTGTTTTTAAGACAAGGCCTTGCTATGTAGTCCAGGCTGGCTTGGGACTCATGATCCTCCTACCCCAGCCTCCCGAGTGCTGGGGTTACAGGTGTTTGCCACCATCCCCAGCGGATGTTGATCTTAGTACTCTTGTATTGGGTTGGGAAGAGAGCATAAAGATGAAACACGATTAGTCAAAAATGAGTCATTGTTAAAGTTCTGTAATAAGTACAACAAGGTTTGTATTTTTCTACCTTTGTAGAACTTTTATATATTTTCTCATAAAAGTATTAGTGGCAAGAAAGTTCCACAAGGTTTTAGATTTTAAGGTAGCAGCCTAAGTATATGTCAAAGGCTTTTGTGACTATGCCAGTAGAAAAGTTTTGTTTTTTGTTTTTTGTCTTTTGAGACAGGGTCTCACTATGCAGTTCAGGCTGGCCTTGAGCTCACTTTGTAGCCCAGGCTGGTCTTGAACTCACAGCGATCCCCCTGCCTCAGCCTCCAGAGTGCTGGGATTACAGGCATACGCCACCACACCCTGCTTGAAAAGATATTTTTATGTAAGTAAATATTTGCATTAAAAAATGGACAAGGCGGGCATGGTGGTGCACGCCTGTAATCCCAGCACTCAGAGGCTGAAGTAGGACGGTCTTTGCAAGTTCGAGGCCGGTCTGGGCTACATAGGTAAAGGCCAGCCTGAAATCTATGGCGAGACCCTGTCTCAAAAAACCAAAAGAAGACATCCTTAGAGATTCAGACAGAGCCAGTTGGGGCACACAGGTCCGAAGGAGACAACAGCGTTGAGGTGCTGATACTGAAGAAGCAGCTCTGCAAAGTGGGGAGCATCCATCAGAGAGTATCAGATCCTGCAAACCTGTCTACCGAGGAAACTAGTATCGAATTGACTCCCTCTAACAAAGGGAAGTAAGTTTTATACAAGAAAAAGAGCACGGGAGGAACAACTTGGGACAGTTTCCAAAATACGGTCTTTGTTTTTCATTCCCTGGGTAAGCTACTGATAGCTAGCAGCCAGCAAGGGGCCGAGCAGGCTGTTCTGCCCTTGTGCAGCTAGCTGGGACACCGAAGAACACAATTCAGGTGTGTGTGGATGCTTCCAAACCTGTGAGAGCTTGACTGTGCGCTGTGTGTGTCCGTCAGTGCTGGTTCCCTTAGTTCCGCCAGGCTAACTCTGTTTCCTTCGCCAGGGCAGCTCAGTCACCTCCTCTTCGTTCATAGTCAGTTCAGGCCAACCACAACAACTTCACACTTTCCTTACAATTTCATTATTTACCTGTCATCTCGAAACAGTGGCTCTCCGGCAACATTGAAGCATCACTGTTGGACAGTGGAGGCGAGGAAGGAGCAAGAGTAGTCAGTCTTAAATATAGGAAGCGTGTAACCCTCCTCTGTGTCTCACACTGCGTGTTAGCGGGCTTAGGGAGAGCCAGGAGAGTAAGTGCCAAGAGTCAGGTTACTGTCAGCTAACCGTGTGGTTTTCTCAGTTGATCGGTTCCACTTTTTTTTTTCTCTTGCTGAAATATTTATGCACACGTTAAAAGATGAATCACTTACTGTGCAAACTCTTGTCTGGCTGAGCAGCAAGTAGTTGTGGACGGTGCTTTCATCTAGGACTCCCTTAGCCATGAATTTGTGGGGCTCTTAAGTCTTGTCGCGCTTGGTGCACACGCGTGTTTGTGTGTTGCTGGGAGCTGAACTGCTGACACATGTAGATAAGTGCTGTGTGACTTACTTACACCCCCAGCCCTTCATTTACGTTTTGAGCCATGGTCTGGTTCACGTTTTGGTTCAGTAACTCCTAGTGAGGGTAGAAATGCTGACACAAACCATTGACATCCACATTCTTCTACCGCTATTGATGTTACCATTTTAGGATATTAATAAGTTGTTAACTGAGTTTTTTGTTTTGAATGCTTGGAAAAGCTCGATAATAAGTTTATTATTTGTCTATAATAATCATTACATAACATAAAAAGAGTAGAGAGAAGTAAAAATTGTTCCTTGGCCATTGTTTTTGTCTTCATCTTAAGTTGTCTAGATATTCAAAGATCTTTTAACTTTTGTGTGAGATCTCAAAGGTGGGTAAGGGTCTGGAGTCACCACTGGGCTCTTAGTAAGTCTCGCACATGGAACATAGCAAGGTGAGTCTTTGGTCTGTCACAGTCTTTTAGCTGAATGGATAATTTTACAACATTGTAATCTTTATTACAGCGCTAATAATTATCTGACCAATAAAATATTAGATTCAATGTAGGAAATTCAAAGTAATTTGGCTTTGTTTGGACTTAAATAAACTAGAACATACTTCTTGCATTTTTATAGGTAATAAGGTTGGGAGAAGGCATAAAGCAGTCTTTATAAGTGTCAAGGCAATCTTTCTTAGGAATTAGTTGTCTTGCAGGTTGGGAATGTAAGTCAGTGGTAGAGCATGTATTTTACATTGGTTTTGGTTTGTTTGGTACCAGGAATTGAACTCAGGACCTGGCGCTTGCTAGGAAGGAGCTTATGCCACTGGGCTGTATCCCCAGCCCCAAGCATGTATTATTAAATTTTTAAATTACTTGAAAATAGGTTTTTCCCTTCTTTCATGAAACCTATTGAAGCTATTAAGTCCATCCACAGTTGAAATATTCTCCCCTTGAGTTATAATCTTAGGGAAAAGTTTCTCAAAAAGCAACCATCTTTAATACATAAAAAAACGGAAAGTAAAAGCTTTGATATCTTTTTTCTTTTCATGTATGTGTTTAATACATGAACATTATATCTAAGGATCAATTGGAAACAAGGTCTCACTTCGTTACATACTGATATATAGCTGGGGAAATAGCTCAGCGGCACAGTGCCTGCCTGGCAAGCACAAGGCCCTGAGTTCAATTTCTGGTCCCCCCGCAAGAAAAAAGATACATATTGATATATAATCTGGTTTATTAATCCCTCAGGAAGTAGAAAGGGATTATCAGTTTGCCTAAAAATTCATAATAATAAAACAAACATATTTAGAGATGCTAGTCATAAACAGCAAATATAAGGAGAAAATAGGTTTTGATGTTTTTGAGGACATAGTAGGCTGGGGATGTAGCTCAGTGGGTGTAGCATTTGCCTAGCATGAACAAGGCCTGGATTCAATTCCTAGCACATTTTCCCCCCAAAAATAAGACCCACTTTACAAAGACCAAGTTTTCTAAACATTCCTCATCTTCTTGTGATAGGGTTTATATGTAAAAAGACACAGATCTGCGATCCTGGGATAACGTGATAGTCACAGTAGGGTAATTTGTTCTGCTCCTTATTACAAGTGATGTAAGAGAATCTTAGAGTGCAGGACAAATATTTTGAGAACTACATAAATCAGGTCTTTCCCAGTAGGAGGTCATGATCTTTATCATTTTCTAGTAAAGTTCAGCAGTTTGGATGACCTCACTAATGTTTCTCTCTGACCATTTTAGCGGTTTGCTGCTGTAATCATGAGAATAAGAGAGCCACGAACCACAGCGCTGATTTTCAGTTCTGGAAAAATGGTGTGCACGGGAGCCAAGAGGTAGCCGTAAGAAATTCATTCTTCTGGTCTGTGTATAATGAAAGAAAGGGCGATAGATCCCAGTCCCTAGGTTTTCAGGCAAGCACTTCAAGGGTTACTGTTGCAGTGCTTGATTCTCATGCCTTAGGAGGTATTGGTTTCATTTTCTTAAAAACAAACATGAGTTTTCAACATGGCACAGTGCTTATTTTCTGTATAATTCAGATGCATTTTATGTGTATGTAATTTAAGATAGCATCAAAACCTAGTAAAGATCCTTTTATGTGTGAAAGGTTTTTTATATAAAAAATTTCATTAAAATACTGATCAAGATCACAAAACTTCACAGAAGCTGATGGTGTGGAGCATTGCAGACCTGTGTGTTCTGTCCGCAAATACCAGCTGCCCTTCACTGGAACAAATTTGAATTCTTTTTTTTTTTTTTTCTTTTTTGGTACTGGGAATCGAACGCATGACCTCGCGCTTGCCAGGCAGGCACAATGCTGCTGAGCTACATCCCCAGCTGTATTTGAATTCTGTATGTCGTAAGGTGTGCACCCTTGTCATAAAAGGTGTGTTCTCCATCTGTTTAGAGCAGAGCACATTGGTGCTCAGGGTCCCATACTATTCTAAACCTTCTTTAACAGAACCCATATCTTTAGTGTAAGTCAAAAACTTATAAAAATGGGAACATTAGTGACATTAGCTTCATAAACTTTAAACAAACGAATTCGGACTTTAAAAGCAGAAGATGATTAAAATACACTTGCAGGTGTCAACATGTAGAAGGTTACAGATATTTTTAGCTTCTTCTGAACTTTCAAATTGTCTTTTAATGAAAAGAAGGCCACTGATACAGACATTCTATTTCCTAGTCTGCATTTTTTGAGAGGGGAGGATATGGATCTCTCTGAAGCCTCCACTCTTCTTTGGCGCCAGCTTGCAATGTTGACACTTCATTTAGGGTCGTTTTCTTGTGAAACACCCGTACTGTTTCTTCTTTTTCCTGAGACAGACTTTCCATGGAGTGTGTAGTCCTGTTTGTGCCAGAGCATCTGCTGGCTAAATATTATATATCTAGTTGGGTGACTTTTTAATCAAAACCAGAAAATACAAATTTATTTTCCTGGAAAGTAAAGTGGCACGTGTCATAGGTTTAATTTCATCATACGGCTCCCTTCGCCTGAGAGGCTTTTGTTTGTGGCACTGCTGTTTGCATTCTGATTTTCTTACATAAACTTGAAGGTGCTGAGTCATAGCTGTATCCAAAAGTGTTGTCATCAAAGTGGAGAAAGGGAGACTTGGTGTAGAGGGTACAGCTAGTATGTGCATTTCTCACCTAATAAAGCTCGTCAGTATTTTTCTATCAAGATGAAGCCTGTTAGTTTTCATTTCCATATAGATGTTGTGGCCCAGATCCTGTGCCTGAACCTCAAGATCAGTAATTTGGCTGATTGTTTAGGTCTGTGATTTTCTGTCAAGGACACAGGAATACTTTATAATAAAACTGTTACAGTGTGCTGATTTTTTTTTTTTTTTCTATTGAAAAGTGACCAGTTTCAGGCTGAGGATTTAGCTCAGCGGCACAGCGCCTGCCTGGCAAGCGCGAGGTTGTGAGTTTGATTCCTGGTACAGGAGAAGAAAAAAAAAATGGAATCCTGAAAAGTGACCAGTTATATGTTATTACCGTTGTTTCCTGACTTGTATTTTTTTATAAGTTATTCATCTAAATAATTATTTCAGCTGCCTCAGTACAAGTTACTCACTTTTATCTTTTCCCTAGTGAAGAACAGTCCAGACTAGCAGCAAGAAAATATGCCAGAGTTGTGCAGAAGTTGGGTTTTCCAGCCAAGTTCTTGGACTTCAAGATTCAGAATATGGTGGGGAGCTGCGATGTGAAGTTCCCCATAAGACTGGAGGGCCTCGTGCTCACCCACCAGCAGTTCAGTAGGTAAGTCTGCAATGTGCCGGTATGACTGCCACTTTGTTTGTAATCTCCTTAGGTATTGTTCAGATTAAGCCACATGCAAAATACTCAGTATATAACCCCAAATGTATGTACAGTTGTCACTGAACTTCCTGCTGTCTTCAGTAATATCTTCTGACATCTAAACCAGGCTTTTTATACACACTCCCATGTTGCTTAGTGACCTCCCCTTTACTGGAATGAATTCTTTCCCACCTTTATATGTTTTACCATTCTGTTGCTTGATAAGTACATTTCTAATGCATGAATTGACCCCAGAACCCCTTGCATCACTGTTTTCCTCATTGGCATCTTTTCATCAGATATACCAGTAAAGTTAACACTGCATGACAGAAACACTCTTTCCACAACGCTCACCTGCTGCCTGCTGGTGCAGACTCATGGCAGACAGCCCATCTCACAGACTTGCTTCACCATTTTCTGCTCTGTTCATGGCCACATCAGCTTCCGCTGCCTTTCTTTGCCCCAGGGCCTTTGTATATGCCACCTGTGTACCTGGCACACTTTTCTTTTTACCTCAGTCAGGCCTGTCCTGAATTTTCCTCTGAGTCAAACACATATAGAGAGAAGAGGGCCAGTGGTGTCACTAGGAGGATAAATTCATTCTCAAGCTAGTAGCTGGTGTGTCACGTTGGTTAAATCGCCCAGCCAAAATTGACAGCTGGATATGACTTTTCAGTTCAGGAAGTTCAGATACAATTTTAAAAAGCAAACTGTCTTAACAGCTCTTACAATTAAATGATTAGATTTTTTTAATATCACATAAATAAACTTGTCCAGAGTGAATCTGGATATGGATCAGAGAACAGAAGATAATCACACAGCTCTTGTTGTTATCTCAGAGATAGGATCAGTTGATCAGAAGACAAACAGCCAGTAGGTAGTCAGTGGCAGGTGGGTCTGGAGTGGCCTAACTGCATTCTCCGGTGCCGCTGAAGAGCTGTGCTCTACCTGTGCCAGTTTGCCTGTTTATTCAGTATTTCCCTTGCACAGGTCTTCATTTTACCTGAAAACATGGGAAGCTTATGATTTCTAAACTATTTTTGCCATTTTCCTTCCAGTTATGAGCCAGAGTTATTTCCTGGATTAATCTACCGAATGATCAAACCTAGAATTGTTCTCCTTATTTTCGTTTCTGGAAAAGTTGTGTTAACAGGTAAGTCGTAACAGAAAATAGCATCTGAAAGAGTTTTAAGCATGGCCTTTTTTCAGTGCTGAGAGGACATTTCAACGTTGGAACAGTTGGCTAACAACTTGTAAGAAAAGGCCTTTACCGTTGTTTGCCTTTTTCTCCCACCCTGAGAGAAACGAAGCCCCGAGTGGGAGGGAGAGCAGTGGAGTCTGCCTGCAGCCCTGAGGCCGTGGGGTGGTGACGGCCGTGGGCGGGGCTGGAGACGGTGAGCCAGGTCTTCTGTTGGTGCGTGGGCTCTGTCAGGGTGGATTGAGAAGAGCCCAGTGGGGGGAGCAACTGAAGAAGGGGCTCAGTTATTCTTGCCACTGCCTGCGGGGTTGTGACCTGGTGCAGGTGCGGGCCTGAGTGAGTGGGAGCTGTGCGACAGCAGGCGAGAGTCCCCGTGTGATGCTTTGATCATTTAAAAGGCCATCTTATGACAACTGTGTAAAAAAACTAGGACTGTGGCACGGGTCCCTACCGTTAGTGTGGTACTGGTTTTTTGTTTGTTTGTTTTCCGGTACGGGGGATCAAACTCACGACCTTGGGCTTGCTGGGCGGGCGCTGTGCTGCTGAGCTGAATTCCCAGCCCCTTACCGATAGTGTTTTGACGCCTGCGTCTGGTAATGTGGGCATGGAGAGGACTGCGCTTGTACCTTTAGGACAGTCATTGTATTTTTACGGTAAAAGTGCTGTTTCACGCTCATCTGTGTTCCCTTGTGTCTTCAAAGGTGCTAAAGTCAGAGCGGAGATTTACGAAGCATTTGAAAACATCTACCCCATTCTCAAGGGGTTCAGGAAGACGACGTAGTGGCTGTCATGTGCTCCTGCCCCCCAGCGCCCCCTTTGTTTTTTAAACAAATCAGTTTGATACCTTTCATGGTGTGGTGTGAGAAGACCGATGCTCAGGTGTAGGCCGCGTCACCAAGCAGCTCTTCCGGCCGGTCCCCCTGCGGGATGCTGGGGGGTCCTTGCCTGCACTGAGAACACCCCGCAGCGTTACTGTGAGTTGCTCGTACTGTGCTGCTATCTGGGCAGCGCTGCCCGTTTATTTATATGTAGATTTTAAACACTGCTGTTGACGAGTTGGTTTAAGGGATAAAACTTCCAAGTGATGAAGCCACCTATACAATTGGACTTATTTTGTTTAATTTTTCCCCATAAACCACAGTTTTTATATTTCTACCAGAAAAGTAAAAATCTTTTTTAAAAGTGTTGTTTTCTAATTTGTAACTCTTAAGGGTTATTTTTGTGCCAGACACATTCCGCCTTTCCAGTATTGCAGGACAGAATAGATGTATTAACGGAACAAACGGCTGTACATACTTTTCTTTCTTCAGAGTACTCTGTACAATAAATGCAGTTTACAAAAGTGTTAGATTGTTGTTACGATACCTTGTAAGTCATGTGATCATACTGTTAAAAAATTGTATTTTAGATATAATGGCTGAAACCATTTGGTGTTTGCTTGTCATTCGTTTTAGTCAGTGTCCACTGTACATCACATTGTGCATCCAGGGAAATGGACAGATGTTACCAGCTGTGTATGGAGCCAAGCATGTCTGGCCCCCCTGATGCTTTGCCTGCAGTGTCAGGAACCCTCAGGAACCCTTTTAGAAGTGTGGAGAGCACCTTTGTGCACGGTTACATAGCTTGTAAGAAAAGGGACCAGATTGAGCTCTGCGCAGTCCTTCGGGTTTGGAGGCTGGCACCCGAATCTTAACCTCAGTGTTTTTGGTGAGGGTTCCCCAATCCCACTGGAATAGCAAGTGGACCTTTGTAAGTTTCTGGGTTTCCTTAGTTTTTTTGGTCCTTTTCAATCATAAAAACACATTCTCACATAGCTCAGATGTATATACTCAGAAAGAGGAGGTCCTTCCTTTCTCTTCTGCCTGGTTAGTGTTAAAGCTGTGTTCTGTATAGTTCTATCCTTTCGGGGTACTGGGATCCTGCTTTTGGAAAAACAGTAAAGCATACAGTATTTCCATGGTTTTTTTGTTTTGATTTTTTGGTCTTTTTTGAGATAGGGTCTCACTATGCAGTTCAGACTGGCCTTGAGCTCACTTTGTAGCCCAGGCTGGTCTCAAACTCGATCCTCTTGCCTCAGCCTCCCAAGTGCTGGGATTATAGGCGTGCACCACCACATACGGCCATTAATTATTTTTTTAATTTTTTGGGACAAGGTCTCGTTATGTAGTGCAGCCTGGCCTTGAACTCAGTGGCAATCCTCATGCCTCAGCCTCCTGAGTGCTGGGATTATAGGCATGTGTACCATGCCTCGTAGTATTTCAGTTTTGTGGCTTTGATTTTTTTTTTTCAGTCAATACATCAAACATTTTTACAAAATACGGTCTTTTTTTTGCAGTACTATATTGAGGACCTTGCACATTTAGGTAAGCAGTTTGCCACTAAAATACATTTCTAGGCCTTTTTCTTTTAAAACTAAATCTAAGTTGTCTGGGCTGGGCTTCAATGTAAAATCTTCCTGCCTCAGCCTCTTGGGTAGCTAGAATTATAGGCATGTGCCACTCTGCTCAGCTAAGATGTGGAATCTAAGGTACTCTATGTGCTTTGATGTATTCAGCCATTCCCTTAATGGCATACATCATTTCCAGTGCTTTCTGCTGCAGGAAATGTCCTTGTATGTATACTTGGAGTAAGTACAGGTTATTACTGCAGTACACTTTCTTAGAAGAGGAATCACTGTATTAAAGACTGTTTGCACACTGTTTTGATAGATTGATACCAGGCTGCATGCCAGAGAACAGTGTACAAAGTGCCCTTGTTTTACACTCCCCAGTCACCAGTTGCCAGGAATGGACGATTGGGAAAGACCCTCGGACACTGTGTCTGAGGGCTTCTTCATGTAAGTGGGTCTTCTCTGTTCCTCAGAAGAGCTTTGTAACTGTTTTCGCACAGGGATCTTACATAGGTTTTTGTTTTCTTTGAGACAAGGTCTTGCTTTGTAGTCCAGGCTGGCCTGAAATTTGTGGCAGTCTTCCTGCCTCACCCTCCTCAGTGCTAGGATTACAGGGATGTACCACCATCCCACACCTGGCAACATTTCATATTTTTAACTTCCTGTACATATTATGGCTTTTGTTATTTTATTAATGAAATTTTTCTCAACACTTTAAAAGTTCGTTGTATTTATTACCAGTCTGTTCATTGAACTTTGAGTATTGCTGCTGATTCTTTGATTATACTAAAAGTTCTAGACATGTAGTCATCTAAAAGCAGTAATTTTATCCTCTTCTATCTCAGTAGATGTGACTTTTAATGTGATGCTTTAAAATAGAGGTGTAGGACACAGTACGTCTGAGTGCTTAGGCAAAGGTACTGGCCAGAGGCAGACACTCAGGTCTACAGCCGCCCCTGTTCCCGTCCAGCCGTGCCCCACAGAAACTGTGTGCTGGCCTCTCAGACACGTTGGTCTTCATTTATTTTTTTTTTTCTCTTTTTTTTTATTTTAAAGAGTAAAAGAAGGATAACATAATAATGGGGGGGGGCTTACCAAACTACAGACAAAGTGGTAGGAAATTATCAATGGTTATTGTTTTACATATTGTTATCTACAAGACAGTTTCTCAGGAAAACAAATAGACAAATAATAGTTACAGACAAAACAGGTAGGAGATTATCAGTAGTTGTACTATACTTAGGTATCTTCAAAGTAGCTTCTAAAGAAAATAAATAGAGCTATACATGAGTGACCCATTGAATAATCATTAACTATTCTCAATGGCTGTTGTAGGAAACACATAATAATAAACATGCATCCATTTACGAAATAGGATAGGAACAATACAAACATTGCAAAGTTATGGATAGATTAGTAGGAAAATATCAATGGCTGCTGTAATACATGGTGGTATCTTTGAAGGGGTTTCTCAGGAAGACAGAGATATGCAAGAAGGATCTACCAAGTAGTTCCAGCCTAAGGGTTGTCAAAAATCAAGTGAGCCATTTGGGGCGAAAGCCATTTTTTGTAGTGTTTTCTCTCCAGCCTCCCATCGCATTGGGACCCCACAACCAGTTAGTGTCCTCTCCCCAACTGTCAGCACAGGCAGCAGGAATCCTGTTGCAGACTTCTTCGGAGCTCCACCACAGCCTGTACTGTCAGGGGAAGAATGGCTTCCAGGGAGTCTCTGCAGGTATTGTGCAAGGTCCTCCTGGTTTACAGCTTCCGAGTAGCTCTCGTGACCCCAGTCCACAGGACCTCTGACTCCGTGGGCTTAGTCTGCATTCTCATGTTCTCTGAGTCCTTGTTCAGCAGCTGATCCTCTGCTGACTCTGGACCTTTCTGGTTCTCAATGGCAGGAGCAAGAGTGGCCCATTGCATGGCATATATTCCCAGGGGTTTCTCCATGTTTGAATGATTAACACAGGTCTGTGGGGGGGCATCTGCAGCCGATGCATGGTGGGCCACTTGTGTCATTGTTTCTCCATGTCATAGTAGTTCTCAATTGAGCAGTGGTGGCCAGCCTGAGGGCCGGCACACAACAGCGCTCGCCGCCACGTGGCTCCCCCTGCGCTGGGGGACCTCCTTCCGGGGGCCTACGAGGCAGGAAGCGAGCTGGCCAGAAGACCAGCGCTCCCCGCCTGTGGCTCCCCGTGCACGTGGGCCCCTCCTCCGGGGGCCTACAAAGCAGGAAGCGAGCCGGCTGGAAGACCGGCACTCCCTGCCCATGGCTCCCCATTTGCCAGGGCCCTCCCTCGGGGGGCCTACGAGGCAGGGAGCGAGCTGGTCCAAAGACAGGCGCTCCCTGCCCGGGGCTCCCCGTGCGCCTGGGCCCCTCCTTCCAGGCGCCTACGAGGCAAGAAGCAAGCCGGCCGGAAGACGGGCGCTCCCCGCCCGTGGCTCCCCGTGCACATTGGTTTTCATTTAGAAGACATAGTATTTGAACCTCTGAAGTTGGGCCTGCATTTCCTTCCCCACTTACAGGCCATAGGGCTTATAAGGGCTCTCACAGCCTGAGTTTTACTAGCTGCAGACACATTGCAGCTCAGCATGTTCTTGCGGTCCTAGCTTGGAAATCTTAAGGGCATGGAAGATAAGTAATTACAACACCCCATAACTGTTCATTTATTTAACTTACATTACACATGTAGTTTTGAGTAAAATGGTTACCATCAGTATAGTTGCCAAAACACACAATTTTGTTCTGATCTCAGCAATTATCAAAGGATGATTATACCAGCACGCAGGAGCTAAAATAAAAAGGCCACATGAGGGAAAGCTGCTATGGCTTGGCTGTTTCTGCTCAAAGCAGATCTAAGCCTCACAGTGTTGGTACAGTAGAGCATGTGAATCAGTAAATTGGTTACATGGGTGATGTGTTGTTCTATGGTATTTTAAAAATGTCTTGCTGGACATGGTGGCACACTCCACCATGTAATCCCAGCACTCGGGAGGCTGAGGGAGGAAGATCGTTCCAAGTTCGAGGCCAGCCTGAACAGCATAGCGAGACGGTGTCTCAAAAAGACCAAAACAAAAAAAGTCTTAATACTGCTAGAGGCAACGGAGTGTCTTAATATGAACATTTTGTCTTAAAATTAACAATTATGAACATTTTAAATATTATTTAATATTATTTAAAATGTTCATAATTGTTAATTTTCAATACAGTGGCTCTTTTTCAATGGTTGCCAAATAGGTGCTGTGACATTTTCTGTCTGGTGCTTTGGAACACCAGTCTCCCCTTGAAACCACCTGTTTTAAGCAGAAAGGTCCTGTGATTTTGGGGGGGGGATGGTCAACTTAGAGGGTGACTGGGACACAGCCAAGTGCTCCAACACTTGCATGGATGCCTGCAGCAACATTCATGTCACCTATTGTCCCCAAATGGCAGCTCTCAAATTCAGAAAAGCCATTACTCAAGAAGTATTTGTAATTTGGGATGAACCCCACTTGTCTAGTTTTCCATAAGCCACTGCACTTCCCACCAAGTGCTGTGACCACCTTTTCTAATTGCAGCTTCCTACAGCGGTCATGTGCTGTAAGTACTCGTTAGCCACCCCAGGTTAAAAACCAACGAAGTTCTCTTCCTTTTATAACAGTGACTGGTAATAGGCCTCCTCATGGGGATCCACACCAGGTTCCCAGATGGCACCATGTGTACGTTATAGAGACATGATGTGCACCAGTAGGCCAGGCCACTGTAACATGGCAGGTACAGTCAGTGACACTAGGAAGTCGCACTCCCTCTGAGCATGCATGAAGACTAGTAGTGGCAGCACACTTCAGGGTGAGCAGGGGTTGTGTGTGGGATGTGAGCCAGTGTGGCCTACGGAACTCAGCGTGAGTCCACACCAGTCAGCTGTCATTTCTCTGGCACTGCTCAACAGCAGTGTCCTGAGGATTGCCTCAGTGTTGGGCCCTGGTGTAGAGCGCATTGGAAGCTCTTGGCTGTTGAACCACCAGGGACTGGAGGGACCTCAACTTGGTTAAAACCTTACGTAGTCACTTGCCTAGAGATGTACCAGAAATGGAACCACTCTATACGGAAGCTAACCTCAGAGGCCCTTCCCTCAGGCTGCTGCAGTCCTGCTCAGCCTTCTACCTCTGCCCACTTCCCATCACCCTTATGAATGGGGCCTGTCTCCCTCTTGAAACCACCTGTTCCAAGCAGAAAGGTCCTGTGATTACTTCTGCCATCCTCTCAAGGGCGACTGAGACACATCCAAGTGAGAAAGAGGTAAGACAGGGCTCACCTTTGCCTGCTCTGCAGGCAGGGCCTGTGGATGACTGAGGTCTGCTCTGGAGTGGGCCTCTTCAACTCCAGGCATTTTATGACAAACTTACATATTCCTTGATCCCATCAACTCTGGTACTGTGATCTCAGTTCACCAGCCTAATTAAGTTGTGTAGTTTATTGGGTATTATTTACCAAAATAATACTTCTTTAATCTCACCATTTGCAGGTAACCAGTTCAGTATAACTTTCTAGTTTTATTTCTAAGTACATATGCATGTATAAATATTTGTACAAAACTACCATACCATAAACACCATCTATAATGGTGTTTAGATCTCTTATTTGTTGTCCACATAGATACAACACTTACTTTTCCTCCTTGGATATAACAAAATTTACTAAATTTTCTGTCACTGGACATTTTTGTTTTATCAATTTAGACATTATAAAACAATGCCTCCAGCAACATGTTTGTACATCTATGTCTGTAAGTTACTAAGTAACTACTCTAAGTTACTTCCTTAGATCAAGTTCTAAGGACGGAATTGCAAGTGTTACGACATAAGTGACTTTAAAGCCTTAAGGTGTATCTGCTACATCTTGCTTCCACACAAATTCCTCCATGTAGCCACTGCCCAAGCTACAGCTCTCCGCACAGGTGAAGACAGCCAGGACGCCCCAGTCCACGCTCTTGCCCAGTCTGTCTGCTTTCAGGTGGTTCAGCAGCTGCGGCATGACCTGAGGAGAGGGAAGCTCGGTGAGAACACTCCTTCAAAGCAGGGAGTGCCACAAGCTCTCAGAATTACACGGCACCTGCCGCACTACGACGCTGGCCCACATGCACCCACTCCATTGGTAAAGTTTTCCAATACCCAAAAGCATAAAGCAGGGTGATTATCACTAAAATAATCCGTACCTGGAATTCAAATATTCTCTTGGCACCACAGGGACAATCTGGAATATCCTTGTCTTGAGGAATATTTTTACCAGAAATCCAGATGGGCTCGATACCTCTGCCGTATCGGAGAATCTAAAATCAATGAGGACCACATTCAAATACCAGCATGTCATCTAAGTGTTTTCTATTGGTCACATGTCATCTGATGATCACAGAGCAACTGCGTGTGCTCCTACACTTAACGAAGCATTGACTCAAGAGACTGTTTTAGGGCCGGGGATATAGCTCAGTGGCACAAGTGCCTTTCTGGCAAGCACAAGGTCCTGAGTTCGATTCTTGGTACCCAAAAAAAAAAAAAAAGAGACACTTTTACAGTATGCGATGATAATGTGTTCTCCACTTCCTCAAAACATTATCTCAGTTTATTTCCTCGATAATACTTTTTCTACCTAGGATGTTAGAATTTAAATCTATAAATATACTGTAAAGGAACCAAGAACATGCCCATTACCAGGTTCTACGTAAAGGCACTGAGTTGGTACCTTCATATACATGTAAGGAACCTTATACATTTTAAAAAAGACAATACCTCCTGAAATGTGGTGTCTGCATTCATCTTACAAATGGGTAAATTCATTCTGATTAGTTTTCTGTAACAGTTGAGTAGTTTCCTCATGATTTATTTTGGGTAAGAATAGCCTTCTCAGTGTTCAGGACATAGGATTCTCCCTCTAAATCCCTCGCCACTTACTTGATCCACTGACTGGTTTTTAGGAATGGAGCTGAGTTATCTTTATTGATTTGTATTTATGGTGAAGTAAGTTAATGGAAAAAATGTGTTTCATACCAAGGTATCTACTGGAAAACTAAGCCAGACAGACAGACAGACAGACGCCATATAGATACAAATAACGTCAGTAGTGCCTAAACCCCATGCATCTTAGGGAAGATCTCATCCAGCTCCCACCCCTGATGCTTCCTTTAGAAAATGATTCTTCTATGATGAACAGTTTATTAAATGGAACATAACTACCAACATCCTTCTTTGTGGCCCATCTGTCTGAAGAGTATCTGTAATAAAATTTTTAAAAGCCTACTTTTACAGGCTCCAAAGGACTATACTAGCTTTCCTATAAAGAGTTACTTCTCAGGGATTACGCTTACAAAATACAGCTAAAAAAAAACCACACACACAAAACACAATGCAGAGGTATAAACTCCACCTTACCTGCTCTGGTTCATGGGCTATATGAGTTTTAAACTTCTGGAATATGTTATCTTCTCTAGATTCATGCTTGGCCATGGAATCCAATTCTTCTTCAGGTGTTTCACCTGAAAAATCAGTTATGAAAAATGTGAACCATCTCCAAGAATGCAGGGAACCCACTTTTTCCTAGGTAGCGTTCCCTTTTTATTCATGCTCATTTCCAGGTGCCCCACACATTATATAATTACTGTGCAGCTGCCTCTACTCTTCTCTTTAAACCTTCAAATTAAAAGAATGGGCCCAAGTCAAGAGTCTCAGGACTATACCCAGCACATCAAACATCCAACAAATCTGGGCTCTTGTTATCATTACTCTCCTCAATATGCCTGCACTCTTATTTCCAGTCTCCTATGTCTCACTTCTTTCCCCACTTTATACTCACTTCGCTCAGTTATCTAATGCAAGCTCACGGTGTCCTGCTCTACATTCATTCTTGGAATTCTGGCCATCCTGAGCCACTGGTGTTCCCAAGAGGCTGGTGGCTGACAGTCTATAAGGTATATCACAACATAACTTGGATGTCTTGAATCAGATAACCTGAATGAGAATTCCACCACTCTGATGAGCATGGAAAAACATTAATTAATGGTGTTCTCTGGCACAGCCATGATCCACAGAAAAACAATAAATGCCTTCAGACCGATGCTCCAATAGGTGTAAGAGCAAAGTTTCGGTGTGACCTTTAGGATATTTCAATGCCTTCTCGGGGTCTACTGTGTCCTACCAATTGCTTTTATCCAGGAATTATTACACAGCTACTTGCAGGAATCATTTTTCCCCCTTCATTTTATTTTGGACAATTTTAAACATATGCAGAAGCAAAAACAGTATAGTCAATCACCACATACCAACAATCAGCTTCAACTAAAATTTCAAGTCCCCCAATTCAGTTAAGTAAGTCCTACTCATGTCTGTATTAAGTCCTATTCATATTCAGTAATTCAGATATGTAAGTCCTACTCATATCTGTATTAAGTCCTATTCATGTTCAGTAATTCAGATATGTACCCTACACCAATTTTCAGTCAGATTAGAATATTTATAAGCTATAATTTTGAACCCATAAACTTAAACACATTTTATGTGTTTTAATCTACTGCAGTTTCTATTCTTATGGGTAGAAAACACCACACTGTTTATCTTGTGTGCCTTCTTATGACGTAACTGATGTAGTCTTTGATATATCCTTGATCTGTTATGACCATCTTCCAACATTACCTGAATATTTATTGGAATCAATCACTTCTCCGAAGAGACTGCGGCTTGTTTTAGGAAGAAATGTTATGTATGCATTAGAAATACCCAATGCTACTGAGCTAATCATTATTTCTAAGCCTCTGTAGTGGGTGGAACACATGAGTTCATCATGATACTTCCAACAAAACTAAGACTGACAGGGTTTTTATTTAATCTTACATATCTATGTCAGCTTTCTCTGAGGCCCAATACACTACCATAGTGACTCATCTGCTTTCTTCCCCAAGATACAACCATTTCAAAATAATGGCGACACTACCAACTTTTTTGTTTTTTGTACCGGGAATCAAACTCAGGATCTTGCGCTTGCCAGGCAGGCGCTGTGCTGCTGAGCTATAATCCCTGGCCATCCCACTATTTATGAAGAACCTAATACTCTCTCTTTTCATTGTACCCTTCTGGTTTTTTCCCTACCTTTAATAAATATGGGGGCTGGGGATTTAGCTCAGTGGCACAGCGCCTGCCTGGCAAGCGCTAGGTCATGAGTTCGATTCCCAGTACTGGGAAATAAAGAAAGAAAGAAGAAACTTTCCCACCATTTATGCTTGTTTCATTCAATTCTTTGTTCAGGACAGAAAGAATTTAGAAATCACACCTAGAAAGGGACTAGCACCCCCAAATCCACTAACAGTACAGTTTTCTTAACATACTACGCCCTTTCTTTCTAGCATAATTGTTCACCTACTGAAATTGTGAAACTGACTCCTTACCCATGCTTTCTACAATGTCAGAGTCTTCTTCCTTTTCTACAACTTCAGGCATAATCTCATCTTCCGTTTCTATTACAATTTCAAATTCTGGAAAAAGGAAGTTGTGGTCTGGAACTGTATGGTCCACCTGATCTGAAACAAAAAAGTTACTATTATCACAAATAGCAATTCAGTTGTGAAAGTGGTGTACAAGTTTTCTATTTCTAAAGTGTAACTATACATTGCTTGATATGTTCTGAGATCTGTGTCGTTGAGTGGTGCCACCTTTAGAACATCAGAATGAACTAAAAAATCCTAGATAATATGGGTTAATCACTCAACATAGCCTCATGAGGTAACCAAGGGACATGACAAACACTAGATGTGTAAGACTGCTGCCAGTGTAACAGAGCAAACCATTTTTTTTTTGGTTTTTCTCCAGTACCGGGAACCGAACTCACGACCTTGCGCTTGCCAGGCAGAAGAGCAAACCATTTTATAGTACAGTTTTCCTAACAGGAATATGTTCTAAACCAGTAACACAGCTACCTATCACCAAGTACTGCATGTTGCACAGGATTGCACAGGCTACGCTTTTACACTACTGGCAGCACAGTAGGTCTGTTTATATCAGCATCACCACAAATATGAGCAATGTGTTATACCATAACATCAGATCACTGCTGCATATTCCATAGAGTAAAAGTTTTCCCTATTAAATTAATATATACAGTTGTAATATTTCAGATTATGGGATATAATGCGTATAACACTTTTATCACATAAGCTCATGAGGGTGCCCATGCTATTTTCTAGTTGTTATGTAGTAAAAATGCCTGTATTAAGGCAAAGCTGGTCACAAAAACTGATTTAAGAGTTCAGAGCTGCTGTTTATATTATAAAGTTATAAAATTTTTGAAAGTACAGTAGTGCTATAACTTTTCTGACTGTAACTTTGGAGTTAAACTGGAAATAAAATATTTGGGTTGACAGAAACTCCCAAACTGAACTGAGATTTAGAAGGAAGCCTTACCCTGTGTGCAAGTCTGCTTATGTACCAACCTCCAGTCTATCGTCTGATGCTCCTTACTGCAGTAATGTGCCTGGTGGCATCTGGAGCATGTTTTGGGGGCTAGGCAGCCACACACCCTGCACAGGTGAGTGCCAGACTGGAGCTGGAGACACACAGATTCTCCTGCATCTGGGGGACGGTTCTCAGAAGGTGGCTCAAATGAGTAAAACTCATTTTTCCTGGGCAGCTGATTCCTAAAAACTAGGAAAGAGAAAAGTATGAACATTCTCAGGGAACCAAAATAGCAATTCAAACACCTGAACCTGTAAGGTTCATTTTACATCCTGTAAAATGAAAAACTATTCAACTAAAAATATAAAATAACCGCTTTCAGGGAGCTTATCCTTCAGAGACAAGAAAACAAACAAAACAGAAAAAAAAGGGGGGGCTTTTAAAATCTAATAATTAAATTTCGTCAGGTACAAGTAATTAGGTGTGCTTTTGGAGCTGATTCAAGTAATCAAGTTGATGACAGGATTAATCGTTAACCAGAACCGATTTTCTAAGAGACAACATTTATGTGAACGTAACCATCCAAACTTAGTACCCGTGGAGTAATCGGAAGGCTGGGTCAGGCAACGGCGTGGGCACGGACGAGCCGACGCCGTAAACTCGAAGACGCCCGAGAGCGCTCCAAGGCAGCCCCGGACCTGGGGCAGCCACCTCCCGCCACCCTCCCGGACG